CCCATAAGTATGGAAATATTTGCCATATTTTTAGGTAAGTACACATATTTTTGTATAATTATATAGCCCCCTAAAGACACTTTAAATTTATAAGTATTTTATTTAATTACAACTCTAGCTTCAAAATTATAAGTTATGAATTTTAGTTCTATATTTTTATCAAATATATATAAAATGTATAAGGTACAGTATTAATTTTGCTATGAACTAATCTTATTATGTAATAACAAATTCTTAGCATAAATTTTGAAAAAAAAAAGAATCCATGTAAGTTAAGTATTTCTCAATTAATCCTCATCCTTGCTATATTTAATATACTTACTATACTTACTATAGGAATGTATTAAACAAAAATATAGATGCTTGAGATGAATGTCTATAATTTTAGTCATTTTGATATTAATTTAATTAAAAATCTAACGATATATTATGTCTGAAGAGCTTGTGAGATTACAAACAATTGAGTTCAAGTAGGAAATAGAGAAGCGATATGCAAAGAGTCGTCATAACCATAATTATGTATTTGAGAGACAAGGGAATGATTTTTCAGATGATGATTCATTAGATTCTTTAAAAAATATTGGATTATACAATTTGTGCAAACCCACTCGAAATAAATCAATAGAAACAGATCTCACAATACCAAAGACAAGCAAAACATTATTAATACGGCTACTAAAACCTAAAAAATAACCATCAGTCAATGAAAATCGATCCAATAATACTTCACTATATAAATCTAGATCTCAAAGCAAAAATGGTACAACAAGACTTCGCACTGAGTATTATGTTTTATTTTTAATCAGAGGTTCAGTCCTTCGAGAATCAAAAAATGTAACCTTAATTTCTCCGAAAATTCCAAAAAGTCCTTTGTACATTCAAGTCGATAATTTGATCAAATCAGCAAAGAATTAAAACCTTTACAAACTTAATAATTACTCTATGGCTGTGTGATTTATAATTTAATAATTAATGTCATATAAAATTAAGTAACCTACTCTTCTTTCAAAAGTGCATCCAAAAGTATTATACAATACATAAGAGTAATTTAAATCAATAAATTCTTAGATATAATGCTCGTGTTGTTAAGGTTTATAGTCCTTTTGAATACATGAATTACATCAAACGTAGATAAGAATACTTAAATAAATAGAGGGAGCTTTTAGATAATCTTTAATTGAGTAAGGAAAATTATGAAAAGCTAACATTTTCTGTAAAACAAATAGGAGTCTTTGATGATGATGGAAGATTTGGAACATAAAGCCAGCGTAAATATTTGTTAAAATCAATGGAATCATCAAGGTAATAAAAATCTGAATCAATTTAATATCCTTAAACAGAAAGAGCTTAATATTAGTTTAAAGCCAAAGCTTTACCAAGTAGTAGAAAAGAAAAAAATAGATTTTCTCCTCAATCTAATATAAAGTTCTTTATGTTGCCAGAAAGATAGGAACCTGATGTTGAATCGAAAAATAGCCCTATTGATAAAATAATCAAACGATCAAGGCAAAAAAAAAGAATACCATAAAGTCAACCTATACCTCCAGAAGTCATCTTTGCTAAAAGTTAGCCAAACCCAAAATATTCCTCATATAGTAGATAACTTCAAGAACTAACAACAACTGTCGAATTTAATAAATTACTTTGATCTTTATTTTAAATAATTACTTAGCCTTTATGTATTCCTTTATTAAGGAAAGAAATTTTGCTATTTTTATCTCTTGGTTTTTTACTTTAATACTTTTTAAATTTATTTCAAATTTTTTTCTTTATTTTTCCTTTTTTTTCATAGATCCAATATTAGTCTCTATTTATTATCAGTAATCTTAAAATATATTAATTATAGCTGATATTATTTTAATTTTAATTTGGGTAATAAATAACTGGTTAATAAATAATTAATCATTTTAGTTAAACTAAAGAATTCTTTTCAATTTATCTAGCTGATGGCCAATTAGTTCATACCTTTATTTGTATTACGTAGGTTTAATGTGGAGCTTTTAATTTATTTTAATTGTTTTATTGGCATAATACAATGCTTTTTATTGAAGTTTACTTATTCATCAAAAATAATCTTCTTTATTTATCATTCACCTTATTCATAATATTGTCTTTCAAAGAAATCATTGTTATATGAGAATAACTTTTATATAAATAACTTCTCCAACTTAAAACTCATTAAGATTTCAATGATTTTNTTCTTTCAAAAGTGCATCCAAAAGTATTATACAATACATAAGAGTAATTTAAATCAATAAATTCTTAGATATAATGCTCGTGTTGTTAAGGTTTATAGTCCTTTTGAATACATGAATTACATCAAACGTAGATAAGAATACTTAAATAAATAGAGGGAGCTTTTAGATAATCTTTAATTGAGTAAGGAAAATTATGAAAAGCTAACATTTTCTGTAAAACAAATAGGAGTCTTTGATGATGATGGAAGATTTGGAACATAAAGCCAGCGTAAATATTTGTTAAAATCAATGGAATCATCAAGGTAATAAAAATCTGAATCAATTTAATATCCTTAAACAGAAAGAGCTTAATATTAGTTTAAAGCCAAAGCTTTACCAAGTAGTAGAAAAGAAAAAAATAGATTTTCTCCTCAATCTAATATAAAGTTCTTTATGTTGCCAGAAAGATAGGAACCTGATGTTGAATCGAAAAATAGCCCTATTGATAAAATAATCAAACGATCAAGGCAAAAAAAAAGAATACCATAAAGTCAACCTATACCTCCAGAAGTCATCTTTGCTAAAAGTTAGCCAAACCCAAAATATTCCTCATATAGTAGATAACTTCAAGAACTAACAACAACTGTCGAATTTAATAAATTACTTTGATCTTTATTTTAAATAATTACTTAGCCTTTATGTATTCCTTTATTAAGGAAAGAAATTTTGCTATTTTTATCTCTTGGTTTTTTACTTTAATACTTTTTAAATTTATTTCAAATTTTTTTCTTTATTTTTCCTTTTTTTTCATAGATCCAATATTAGTCTCTATTTATTATCAGTAATCTTAAAATATATTAATTATAGCTGATATTATTTTAATTTTAATTTGGGTAATAAATAACTGGTTAATAAATAATTAATCATTTTAGTTAAACTAAAGAATTCTTTTCAATTTATCTAGCTGATGGCCAATTAGTTCATACCTTTATTTGTATTACGTAGGTTTAATGTGGAGCTTTTAATTTATTTTAATTGTTTTATTGGCATAATACAATGCTTTTTATTGAAGTTTACTTATTCATCAAAAATAATCTTCTTTATTTATCATTCACCTTATTCATAATATTGTCTTTCAAAGAAATCATTGTTATATGAGAATAACTTTTATATAAATAACTTCTCCAACTTAAAACTCATTAAGATTTCAATGATTTTACTTCTTCATTTTATTTAATTTTTTCAATAAAATTTTTAAAGATGTAGATTCTGAACAATAAAATCCAAAAATAGATTCTAAAATTTCTTTATATAAAACAAGTTTGCCTTTAAATAACTCTTTGCCATCTGAATAAAAAGGGCATTAATAAGTTGGAGTACTTTTTCCTAGAAAAGAAGAAGTATGTTTAACAATAAATAGAACAAACAAAAATTTGAGTATGCAATATCTGCTATTATTAAATATGTTATTTGCCAGCCTATTTAAAAGTAAAAGGTTTTCTAATCTTAATATTCAATAAATCAGGTTGCTTAATATTTTTATATTAAAACTACTTCACTAAAATATTACCAAACTCTTTTTCTTGCAAAATTAAATTAATTATTTAAAGAATTCACTTGGAAAATTGATAATGAATTTTAACCTTAGTCAAATTTAGAATTTTAAAATAAATTTGTAGAAAAAAGTAATTAGATATAAATATAACATTATTAGATGAAATTAAAGCCCAATTAATTTCGATTAATTAGAAATTAAGGATAAAGAGATAGCTAAATAAATTATTAGATTTAATAATAGCAATTTAGTCTTACTCTCTTGATTATATGGACTGCAAGTTGAATATTATCTATATTAGAAATATATACTACCTGATTTATAAGTACCAATTAATAAGTTTAAAATTGGAATAGGAATAACTATATTATTTGAATTAATAATTATCTCACAGCAATTCATCATAGATTAAATTTAATTCCAAGCTTAATTTAAATTATTGTTGAAAGATGAGGCTGATAAATTAAAATAATAGATTGCTCTAGGTTCATAGTTTATAATTCAAGTTCTTTGAATTTCTACATAACTTATTATTTATCATTATATAAATCAACAATTTAATTATTAAGCTTATTACAAGTAAAACAATTTTATTATAAAATTTTGTGTTGGCTCTTAAATAATTTATCAATTACTAAAGTATTAATTAAATATTCTAACTTAATTTAAATTATCCAAAGTCTCAACTTCAAGATTATTATAAACTTAATCTCTACTCTCTCAATATAATGGACAATAATTTTGTGATTGAATAGGTTTTAAAGTCGTTTTATAAGCTGAACTGAACACAATGAAGATTGTTGAAGGGAATCCTTCTTTTAATTTATCAATAAATTATTCAAGCAAATGTCAATATTACATGAACTAATTTCTACAATGAAGTATATAGTTTTTGATGAGAAATTTTTAAATAGATAATCCTAAAAAGAAAACTAAAATCAAAGAAGAGATGAAAAAAAAAGAATAAAAAAAAATCCATTGGTTTACTTTATTACTGATTTGATTTGATGTTTATTACTGATTTTCATAACCTAGACAGTATTACATAAATTCTTTCTATTTGTGCTAAAATTAATCTTATGATATTCCTTTTTTGATAATAAAGCTACGATGTTGATTTTGTAGGTTAGAGGATATTTAGTAGATTTTGATTTGTCTTCTATTATAATAAGAAGTTTTAGTGATTATAAAATTTAGAATCAGATTTAATCGCAGTTTGTTTTACTTTGGGTTCATAAACTTGTTCAGATTGTTTAGAATTCTAGAGTAGATAATTATTAAGGTTACTGAAAGATGAATATTTTCGAAATAATGTAGAGGTTATTTGAGGTTTTCTTAATACACATCGTTTACCATATAATTATTTTGTTTCATTAATAATTAATTATAAATATTGCATAGATATATAAACACGCATACTCATAATTTGAAATTTGTGATTTCTTCAGAATTAACAACATTATATGCAAGAATCTTTTTAGAGATTCAAGTCTTTTTCAGAAATACTTTTTTTTTTGATCTCATCAGATGATAATTCTAGAATGTAGTTTGAATTTACTTATTTATCTTTGAATACTTAATTCTGAAGAGGTTTTGATAGAATTTTAGACTTTATCTTCATATTTGCTGATAAGATTGATGTATTGATCAAATATCCTAGTAAATCTTTCAATACTAGACCAATAATCAATTATCCATACACATATAGATGAGGTTTCTTTGTTGATTTGATTCCTTTGCTATTCTATCAATCGATCAAGGGGAATATCTGAGTCAATTACAAAAGTTGGAGTTTGGAATGGAGGTTCATTTTGAATCAATTTGATTAATTTATCTAACTCTTTAAGTGATATAGCATTAAGGTGTTAAACAGTGGCACTTTTTATGATATGCTTGGATACAGTAGAGGGTCGATATTGGAACTAAGTTATTATTTGAGGAGACTCTTCTTTCCTGACCCAACTTAACGAATCGCTACAGGATCAGTGGGTTTATACTCATTCTGTAATAGAAGCTCTCTCCAAATTTCGTAGTACTTCTCATATGAAACTTTGAGTGTATGAAATTCTGAAGTTGAGTGCTTGAAATATTTTAATACTTTTTTACTTATAATTGTTATTCTAGAGTAAGAAGTTCTTATGCGTCATTCATTTTGGATTAACTATATTAATCTAATAGCTGATTCAACTTGAGTATGCTTTCTTAAAGCATGTATAATAAATATAAATTTTAATGTAATAGCCTATTCGTATCATTGATGGTCTTTACCTTGGAGATTAGGGTGCAGCCCATGTAAATGTGATCTAAAACAAGAGGATTTAGAATTCTTGGTGACTAACAAGATAACCAAGATAATTAATTGTGCTGCCAAACATATTCCTAATCATTGGGAATCCATCGGCATTCAATATTTGTCTTATTAGTGGTTAGAAAGTGAAACTCAATTTCCTTTTGATTATTCCAATTGTTTTACCTTCATTAACGATACTCTTGAAGTAGGAGAGGCTGTTTTAGTTCATTCTATTAGAGCTTCTAATAGATCTGTTTTTGTGATTGTTCTATTTTTAATGCGCAAGTATATGCTTCCAATCTTACTCATAGATTTAAATGGACATTGCAAAAGACCTTATAATACATACAAAATCTCAAGAAAAAATTTGAAATTAAATCTAATGTTTATCAATAATTACTTAATTATGAAAAGTGGCTTCATCTTTCCAAACTTAGTAATAATTGGGATGCAGCACATAATGATGACGAGAAATTAGCAAGAAACACATATCTTAATAGTTAGCGAACATATTTATATGAACCAAAGAAGAAAAAAGAAATTAGTTTTAAAAAAGTTTAATGGAAAAAAAACTTAGTGTCTCAATTCATTCCACCTTATTAATAGATGTACATATTTTAGTAAACATAAAATTAGATAATTCAAAAAATTCAGTACACCGCAACCTAAAATTTAACCTTCTTAAATACCTATTAAACTTAGAGTTCTTCCATCTGATAATAATTGGATGAATAAAAAATACACATTAAACTAAATTGTTGATGAACAATTATAAAAATAATTGAATCTATATAGTATCAAGTCAGATCGTCAATCAATAAAATCCCTGGCAAGGCCAAGTACAGCACCTTCAAAAAGATTACTCAAAGGGAAAGTTCTAACATCATCTCATAGATTATTAGTTAAGTAATCATGATTTATATAAATATTTATCTAATTAATCTACTATTTGGCAAAATTTATTAAATCTAAGATTTAAAAAAAATTAGATTTATGAAAATATAATAATGTTGATCTTAAATAATTATGATTTATTTATCATACTCATAAAGAAGGGAAATCTTTCTCATCCAATTGAAATCCTTATTCCTAAAATAATTTATTAGATATTATTACTTATTATTTTTATTAAGGTTTCTTTTCTTATCTATCATCTCCCTTTCTATATTTATCTCCTCTTCTTTAATCTCTTGTATTGTTATCTCTATTTTATCTATCATTTTATGGTCTATCTTATCTATTTCCTTTATATCCTCTATTTTCTCTAGGCCCTCTATCTTATCTATCTTATCTATCACCTCTTTCTTATCTATCTTATCTATCTCCTCTTTCTTATTTATCTTATCTATCTCCTCTTTCTTATCTATCTTATCTATCTCCTCTTTCTTATCTATCTCCTCTATTTTATCTTTCTTATCTATCTCCTCTATTTTATCTTTCTTCCTTTAAATCTTATTCCTAAGCTTATGTATCTTATTCTTATTATTCTTAAACTGTCTCTTATTTATCTTATTATCTTCTTTCTCCTCTTCTTTCATTTTTTCTTTCAGGTTCTTATACCTAATTTTTAAAACCTAAATATTCAGCAGCCTAAGTATTCAATTCACTTCTATAATTTTATTATTATCTTGTTTTTTTCTGTTTTTACTCTTATTGTTTTTTTTCATCTTCTCTTGTTTTCATAACAAATAATTTTTCCTTTTTCAAAGCTTCTTCATCAATTGGTTTCACTACTTAAGGTTTAGTTTCAGTTTGTTTTAATACATCTTCAACATTCTTAATATTATTAATAATAATACAGCTCCTCTTTGTTGATAATAATCAGCAAGTGTCTTTTCAGGGGCAGGTAGTGGTTAAACTTATTAAACTGTTTATGTTGTTTATTCATTTTATTCTTCTTGTGGGGTATCCTAAGTTTTTTTCTCCTTTGCAATATATTTCTCTTCTTTAAGGTCATCTTTATAATTTCCCCAATTATTTCTGCCACCACCTTCTTTTCTTTATTCTTTGCCTCTTCCTGTTCCAGACTATCTATCCTTTGGATGTGGCTCTACAGGAACACCTTTTTGCTTAGGGGTTGGATTTTCATGTTTTGTATTCTCTTTTTGAACTTACTCAACTGGAATTATCTATTCCTTATTGTTATTATTCTTCTTAGACTTTTTTTATTATTATTATTATTCTGGGACTTCTTCTGTGTCCGAAAAATTGAGAACATTGAATAAATTATTGCTCATTAAAATTTGAAATATTATTTAATGTTTTCACCTTAATTATCGAGAATTAAATTTATTCAATATAATATATTTTTTTATACTATAAAAATAACTATAAATATTTAATAAATTACTTCATAAAATTATAACTGATTTCTTCTTTTTCAAATTTTCAAATTTATCTAACTCCACATGTTTAAATTAAATCTTATAAAACATCCTTATTTAATATTTTAATAAAACTTTTGCTATTTTTGGATTAATTTTACAAACTATTGCATAAATTATAATAGATAATAATATCTAATTAGTCTATTGATAATAATTAAAAAATTTATATTAAAATGTATTTTGTCTTTCCTATAAAAAATAATAAATTAAATTATGGGATGTTGTTAACAACTTCCTTTAAAAGAAAATGAATCATACACTGTAGAATAGATCACACTTTAAGAAAATTGTTTTCCAAAAGATCTATAAATGCAATCTTTAGCTTTAAATTTAGTAAAAGGAGATATGGATGATATAGACTCTTTTGAAATAAAAAGGCTTGGAAATACATGTGTGAACAATATTTTGAATGAATAATAGTCAATCAAAATGGAAAATTAAAATAATGCTCAATTTAAAGATAAAAATATTATTATTTTACTGATATTCATATAAAATGCAGTTTTTATCTGCAATATACTGTCAACTTTAAATAAACCCTAATTTGTTAGAGATAGCGGTAGCAAGAATCTCAATAAAAAATTTATAGGAATGCTTTGAATTAACAATATCTGAAATTATCCTTTTTGTTGCAACAAAACCTGTAAAGTGATAATCTATAATACATGTTGACGGATTCGATAATAATTCTGAAGATTTACTTTCGAGATTGCTTTGCTAAAATCAAAAATAAAGGATTAAATTAAAAGATTAAAATATCCATTATATGTTGCAACTTAATTTTATAATTATATTTAATTTATTATATCAGATATATTATTCTTTCTGAATTAACAGGTAAATAAAATACTTCAATTTTCTCTTGTTTTTTATCTTTAGATTAGATTTTTTTTAATTTAGCTATTTCTTCTGATAATAATATAAAATTCCTAATTTTTTACAATTTTAAAGGTTAATGAAGAGAATTTGTATAACCCTCTATTGATTCAATATTGATAAATGAAACTTTTAAAATATAGGGACAAAAGTACAGTTATAGTTTATTATAAGAGTTTAACTATGAATATTTAGAATATAAATGGGTGTCATCAATTTTGTAAATTTAGATATAGATTAACTACTTGTGTAATTTGTCATCTCTTATTTATAATAACAAAAAGTTGAATATCAATAGTGATTATATTGTTTGCATAGATCTTATATTTCTTTTTTCAAGATCAACAGTTGCCTTAATCTAAAATAATAATAAATTGTTTACCCAAAGCAATTATTTAATTGAAATGGAGAGAAGGGATAGCATTTTTGTTCTTTTTGAAATAAAATGAAGTAAAATTGGTCTTAAAGAAGTATAAACTACATAATTTAGTTTTAGAAATAACACTTATATTCAATTAATTATCAATTATAATTGTGATTCAATTATAGATAATGAACAATTTTGATATACTTAAGTTGAACTATTATAAAATTTAAGTTTTAATTAAATTATAAATCGGGTTAAAAAGATCTGTCAGTTTTGATAAATAATCTTTTTTCGACAAAGGTTGTAGGGTATATATTTCACTAGCACAGGATTTACACAAATAAGTTTTAGTATAAAGATGCTATTCAGAAGTAAAGTAATTGAGATTGATTCCTAAGATTCTAAAGTACTTAAAATTTAAACTGTTAATCTAATAACTCATNCTGAAATTATCCTTTTTGTTGCAACAAAACCTGTAAAGTGATAATCTATAATACATGTTGACGGATTCGATAATAATTCTGAAGATTTACTTTCGAGATTGCTTTGCTAAAATCAAAAATAAAGGATTAAATTAAAAGATTAAAATATCCATTATATGTTGCAACTTAATTTTATAATTATATTTAATTTATTATATCAGATATATTATTCTTTCTGAATTAACAGGTAAATAAAATACTTCAATTTTCTCTTGTTTTTTATCTTTAGATTAGATTTTTTTTAATTTAGCTATTTCTTCTGATAATAATATAAAATTCCTAATTTTTTACAATTTTAAAGGTTAATGAAGAGAATTTGTATAACCCTCTATTGATTCAATATTGATAAATGAAACTTTTAAAATATAGGGACAAAAGTACAGTTATAGTTTATTATAAGAGTTTAACTATGAATATTTAGAATATAAATGGGTGTCATCAATTTTGTAAATTTAGATATAGATTAACTACTTGTGTAATTTGTCATCTCTTATTTATAATAACAAAAAGTTGAATATCAATAGTGATTATATTGTTTGCATAGATCTTATATTTCTTTTTTCAAGATCAACAGTTGCCTTAATCTAAAATAATAATAAATTGTTTACCCAAAGCAATTATTTAATTGAAATGGAGAGAAGGGATAGCATTTTTGTTCTTTTTGAAATAAAATGAAGTAAAATTGGTCTTAAAGAAGTATAAACTACATAATTTAGTTTTAGAAATAACACTTATATTCAATTAATTATCAATTATAATTGTGATTCAATTATAGATAATGAACAATTTTGATATACTTAAGTTGAACTATTATAAAATTTAAGTTTTAATTAAATTATAAATCGGGTTAAAAAGATCTGTCAGTTTTGATAAATAATCTTTTTTCGACAAAGGTTGTAGGGTATATATTTCACTAGCACAGGATTTACACAAATAAGTTTTAGTATAAAGATGCTATTCAGAAGTAAAGTAATTGAGATTGATTCCTAAGATTCTAAAGTACTTAAAATTTAAACTGTTAATCTAATAACTCATTCTAAATTAGGATCTATTCATTACAATTTAACAATTATCATGTCAAATATTATTTTCTTTAAATATACATTTGTTTAGATAGTATATCTTTTTGTTTTACTTCTTAAACTAAATTAAATTGTAATTTATCTTGATTATTGTAAAGTCTTTCTTTAATGAAAAAATTAAAAAAGCTTATACTCTATAATGATTTAACAGATCTAGACAGTTTTATTGGCTAATTTTATCATTTCTGATGGTAAAGGAGATGAATTATACTATAAGACTAATGATAATTAGGATCATCAGTAATAAGTATTACAGTGATGATTTTTTTTATTATAAAAATCATTTATTTACACACCATTAATTATTTTTTGATTTAAATTTTTTAATAATTAATTTTATACATAAAATTTGAAATAGATCAAAAAGTAGAAGGCTTGTAGTATTACATTACAACCAGAAACAAGAATGTTGTAACAAAAATTAAGTGTATGGGAATTTAATGAAAATGAAATATTTTTTTTTTGCAAAATAAAGCTGATGAAGATGTTTTACACCAGTATCATTAATGTAATGGATGTGAATAGGATCATATTCTGGGTCTAAAATTTGAATGTACAACATCTGATGATAACTATGATTATTGTTAATTTTGCTTTGATAAACTTTTTTAATAGAGTGAAGAAACTAGTAAGGATCATTATTTAAATTGTTTTTTGAATTACTGGAGAAATTCATTGTCATAAAAAAGGCAATGAATGTTTTTATAAACCTATATTAGATTTTTTTTTTTGCAAATAATGTATTTACTTTAGCTTATGTGCTAATTTCAAATTAAATCAATCAAGTTTAATATTTCTCAATGAAACAATAAATGTCAGGGATGTCGACTAGAATAAATAGGAAGTGTGAAAACTTTTTTGAATAAAATCTTCGAAGAATGTGATGCAATATAAAAAAAATGATTGGAAAGTTTTATGTTATTACAGATATTATGATATCTTCTAATGTAATTTAAATTAAGGATAAACGTCTTATCATTCCTTATTTATTGTAAAAGGCATAAAACTTATTTATACATTTATAAAGATATGAAATTAAGATTTGGATAATAAGTAATAATTTTGCTCTGATATTTTTTTGCATTGGTTTTATTTGATCATAATGCGCAAGCAATCTCTTATATTTCAATCCTATTTTTCAACAGATAATTTGTATCAAAAAATATTTTAATTATATATTCTCATTATCCTCCTCTTTATATAATATCATTGGATGATTTTTAACTATTTTGTACTAATTAATCTGTAATTAGATTTGTTTAATTCATCTACTAATAAGATGAGATTGGCTTTACAACAAAATCTATGTTTAAGAGACAAGGCATTAAAATAAAATTAATTTTCTTTTTTGGTTACTTAATAATTTTTGGAAAGAATGTTGTCTGTCATATTTTTGTTAGGGAATATTTGCATTGCTTATATATCTATAGTATTCACAAAACTAATTAATATGATTCAATTAAATATATATTATAATATATTTAAGGTTTTCTTTATATTATCTATTATTATTTTAGTGATGCATTATTAGCGATATTTTTTTTGCTTCAATCAATTTTAGCTGATTTTGATATTTTTTATTTTAATAATTAAATCATGAATAAATTTTCACCAATCATTTTAGTCAAAAAAAGTGGTAATTTAATAGAAGTATCAAAATAAAAAACTTCAACATGTAAACTAAGATGGAAAAAAGTAATTATAATAATAAAATTAATTTGTATTCTGCAAAATATATTTTCTGAACAAGTTCTGTAATAAGTTATTGATTTATTTATTACATCATCATTTTGTAGGTATAATCAATTATTGTTTTCTATATACTATTTGATTATTCCTTAATAAATATTATACAACATAATATATATAAAAGATACGATAAATATTATTACAAATAGAAAGAAGATTGAAATTTATTAAATATTATAAGCTCTTCAATTTCAACAAGATGGGTTGCTGTCAAAATAGGTCTTTGTTACAGTATTAAGAGATTGAGAATCATAAATCTTCAGTCAATAGAAATAAAATATAATTGGAGCCATTACTTATTGCTGTAATTGGAGACTCAGACAGATTAGATATGATGGATGACATATTCAAAATATAATAAACCTCTATCAAAGAAATACAATCTCCAAATAATTTAAAAATGCCTTCAGAGTCAGTCATAATAGATTTGAGATCTGGAACATCATTGGCAAGTCCAATAAGACAAAAATCAAGTAAGAATCTTAATTAGAAGTTTCTTGAAATGTTATGATTATACTAATAATATAAAATATATGCTCAAATTAAATTAACAGAAACATATGAGTGTTAATCCAAAAAATTTTAGTGACCATAAGTAACAAGGAAGTAAAGATTCCTATTCAAAAATACATACACCAATTAAACGAAAATTATCTGAATATGTATTATAGAAATAAAGCTCTTATGCATAAATACATAAACCTGAAAGACAAAAACAAAAATCAAACCCTGATATTTTATAATTACTTAAGAAATATTCAAAGTGTCATACTAATCAATCTTAACATCAACTTCCTAATTAAAAGGATATTGTTAGCAATCAATAAATAAAAAAACATAAAACAGTCCATAATAATGATGCGTCACCTATTAGAGTTAGTTAAGAAGCCTTGCCATTGAAAAATATTTTAATTAATAGAAAGAGAACTAGCATTAGTGATAGAGATATTACACTTCTAAAGTTGCAAGAATTAAAAAGGAAAATTTAAGAAAAAGTTCCTAATCCTCTTGAAATTTTGGGACCAGAAACAAATCCTATTTCAAACAGAATTACATTTTAAGCCTCACTTTAAACAGAGGAATCTAAATTAATATAAAAAACTATTGATACTCCTGGTACAGCATAATTTATGTAATCAAATCGAGATGATAATATGTAAGAACCAAGAAATCCATTTGAAAGAAGAAATTCTTATTAAGATAATTAAACTTTGCAATAAACAAATATCGATTTATTTTTTGGAAAAAGAAAACCATCATGTTGTGAAGATAATTTTAAACCTGTTTAAAAAACATAATAAAATTGTAAACCCTATTTTGAATCTAATAAAGGAGAAGAATTATAAAATAATAATTTTACAAATAGATTAGAATGTAGAAAAATTATGATTATACTTGATTAAGATAAAGAAAAGATATTAGATTAAATAGTTTTGAATCCTATTGAAATTCATAATTCTCCTACTAGTAGTGTTTGGGATAAAGCATTAAAAATAGATAGATTAGAGGAATAATTGGGAAAACAAAAAACAGAAGAATCTTTAAGTATTAAATGCTAATAAATTATATCAAAAAGAGGAAGCGTCAAAAATGAAAATACATCATATTGGAAATTGAGAGACTTGGAATTTAAACAGAAAAAGAAATGATTTAAATACATAAATTCTCTTAATAAATATTAATTAAAAATATCACCTTTGAAGTTTAAAATATTTTAGCTGCTTAACTTAGTAAATTACAAAAACATATTAAAACATTTATGAGTTGAATATCAAAAATTACACATATATTTCATTTCAGTCTAAAGTGAGATTTTTTAAATTCTATAGCTGTTTACATTGGATTAATTATCTTATTATTAGAAAGAAAATGATTTGGGCTTCCTTCTCCTTTTGGACTTTTCTTAGAATTTATAATTGGTGGTAATTTTATTTTCTGTTTCTCAGAACTCTAAAATAAATAAAATTATTCACATCTCTACTACTATGGCTAGAATTTAAGCAAGATCTTGTAGGTATTTTAAGTATTTTTGGTTTTTTTGGACTCTTTTACTTTGAAAAGAAACGTTAAGTAGAAGGTAAAACTATTGCTCTAATAGCTTTTTCACTATTTTATTTAACAAATTGTAGAAATACAATAAGTTTTTAAAACTAAAGTAATAAAATTGATATACCTTAGTAAATATTGCTATTCCTTTGTAAGCTTAAAAGATTTCTTTGCTTGTCATAATATATGTTTCTGATGACTAACATGTTATCCATGGATGTAATAATGCTTATTCAGCAGTTATCCTTGCTTCAGGTTCAAAAGCAGCAGTTTTTTCAAAAAAAGAAATAGCAGCTCTTTCAAATTTAAAATTATACTTAGACATACCGCTAAAATCTACTTTTTATGGTACAGACATCTGTTTGATATATTTTTCTTTTTTTTGATTGGTCCAAAATGGATGACAGTTTTTTAGTAATTAATACTGGATGATGCCACAACTCCAAATATCAACAGATTTAAAATATTCTTTTTTCATAAGAACTTCTGGGGCCATATATATTAAAGTTCCACAATTTTAATGTGTAGTTATTTACTAGGTAGTCATGTAACTTAGACCAAAATCTATCAAAGTAAGGTTCAGGTTCTTATCAACAATCATGTTATCTACTTTCAACAACCGATCTTACCTGGCTTTATATCCCGATGAATAATTCGATTGGAATGTAGATAGCTCAGTACATCAACCAATTAACGAATTATTGCTATGCATTCTTTTTCATAAAATCTGATATTGCCATCATCAATATATTATTAAAGAGTTTTTCCATCTATGAATGACAATATAAAATAAAGTCTTCTTTTCGATTCAAAAGTTTTGTGATATCGTACGATGTTAGGATGCTTCAATTAATTCAAAATTAAGGCTTCCTACTATAACTTCTCTGTGTTTCCTTTCATCTTTTCAACTATCTATCTATGATCATGTTAAAATACATCACCTTTATTGCATAAAATTCACCATCATGAAATACTTTAAATACACTACTGAAAGCACCTTGACCAAGAAATTGAATGATCCTATACTAAGCTAGCAATTTAGCTACAAATTTTGGATTCTCATTCGAAATAAAAAGGTCATAAACTTAAGTATTCATAAAATATATAATATGGTTTTAAATATTAGTAAATTTTGCAATTTAAATTAGATGTCAATGTAATTTACTCTATGCTTGACTCTAAATATATTTCATCATTTTCAATCAACCATACTTTTCTACTTCATTTAAATTAGTAAATTTTATTTTATTTTAATAGGACTCTAAAATATTTAAAAGAAATCAATTCTAAATCTTTAAGTTATATTTAATAATTTGCTAATTAAAAATAAATTAAAAAATATTTCAATATATTCATTTCATAATTATTCATATAAAATTAAATAAAACAAATCATCAAAATAACTAATAATAATAAAATTTATTCTCATTTTAAATAATTAGATGCTTCCCATTATTTGATAATGCTCCTAAAATTTTATTGCTGTCAAAATTTAATTTTTTTATACAATTATAATCTCCATGATTAAATTCTTTTATTAAATAAACTGATCTATAATGTTTCACTACCATCAGTTATGAATCTTTATGATATTAAATTGGAAAATAATGACAATCTTCATAATCTGTTTAAACTATTGTTTTTTTTGTGATTTCTAAACTAGAAATTTTGAATTCAATCAATCCTCTTTAACTTTATGAAACAACGAACCTATGATTATCTAAAAATCGAATACGACTAACAAAGGTATCTTCTATAAGTTCTCTCAACACTTCTAACATTCCTTGTTCACAAATTTTCCAAACGATTATTTTTGAATCTCCTGAACATGTAACTAATTAAGTTTCTGATTTATTAAGACTTACTCCATAGACAACTTTTTTATGAATTTTTCGTTATTCATCATGAATACTAATTATTTTTTTCTTATAATCTATTTCCCAAATTTAAACGAAACCATATTGATTTCCTACAATTAATTTTGTTTCCTATTGATTTAATTCCATACAAGTTATAGGACTTCTTGAATCCTTCTAAACTGTCAATTCCCAATTATTTTATATTTTTTCTTCCCACAAACAAATTAAATGATCATCTATATATCCTCCTGAAAAAATTGAGTTTGTTTTTTTAGAAAATAATATACAACTAATATTTTTTACATGGCCTTATAAGATTGTAATTTATGATAAGTTTCCCTCATTAAATTACTAAATTTTTATATTTTTACCATTAGCTGTGGCAAGTAAAGTATCATCTTTATTAAAAGATAGATCTTAACAAATTTCTTACTGTTCTTTTTTTATTTCACAAATATATACTTCCTCCTTATTTTTTATAATTTTATCTAAATCATCAGCTTTAATTTAATATAACTGTTAAATTAGTTAATATAAGTTGTGTTAAGTTTACTCTAGATTTTCAAAAAAATTATCATTAGAAATAGAAGTAATATTTGAATTTTGCTATTAAACCTTTGAATTTGGTTATCCAAAATTACTAATTGATTGTTAGTCCTCAAGCTATTATTAATTTTTAAAATCATAAAGAGATAGTGAGGAACTATCTTTGACTTCACTCTTTGAATCTTATTATTATTTTTATTTTTTGATTTCCCTTTTTACCTGAATTAATGCTTTTATATAATTTTTTTTTTCAATATCTTTAGTATTCATGTAAAAGAATAAAAAATAATCCGCAAAGTACATTCATATTATGTTTTTTAATTCTAATAATTCTATTACAATATATACATATATTTGATAATTTCATTAATTATAAATAATTGAGATGGATATTTTTATGAATATGATTGTCATTTTAAATTTAAAACTTATAAAAATGTATTAGCTTCGAATAAAATTCAAGTATTTTGTTAAGAATAATTAATATTATTATTATAAACTTTTCTGCTTAGTAAAACAATATTAGAAATATTATTTTAATTTAAACTGATTTCGCATGGTAAAGTTTGTTAATCAACTATTTGAAATAGTAACCAAAAGATTTTAAATTTAAAGAATGAAATCCATTATTGTTTAGATTAGAGAACCTTAAAAGCAATCTAAAATAAGTAAAAAGAATCTAGTTTAGTTTGTTTACATTAAATTTTATATGAAATGTTATACAAATAAATTAATGATGTAAATTTATTTTATCAATGTTTTAAAATTATATAATTAGATAAAATTTTATTACACATCATAACTAATCATTAATAATTTATTTTATTTTAAAGATACTAAGGATTACAAATATATCACAACGATATTTATGAATTAGATTTTAATAAAAATTAGAATAGTTATTTTATAGAATAATTAGTTTAGTATTCATTTAACAATATAAAGTGTATTTACAAATAGTAATAAAAAGTTTATTTTAATCTTGAATAAATTCTAGTCTTTTAAAAAGTCTTAATTTTTAGAATTTTAAGCAGCTGACTAAAAATTTGAATAAAACTAATTCTTTAAAAATATGATTTTTTTTGATTTTGGGCACTCTTAGTTATTGGAATCTACTTTGGAATTAGGTCTTAATGATGATTTGAAAAGTATTGAATCTCATAAAAAATATAAGATTGTTTGATTAAAAAAAATTGTTTGTTGGGTGAAGTTATTGTTTAATGTAAATTCTTTAAGAGATTAAGTAGAGTGTTTGATATAAAAAATATAGGTATAAATGGAATAGTTGTGATTATGAGGTTTTGATTTAGAATAGTTTGAAGATAAATGAGACTAAAATGAGAATAATTAAAATTCGTAAAATAGAAATGATAAAATATATTGTCATTATTTTAAAAATGCATATTTATTTTGTATCTTTGAAAAAATTATTATAAAAATAGAGTATTAAAGTGATTATTAATAGTTAGTGATGCGTAAAATAAATTTTTAATTATGATAAGATTCAGTTCTAGATTCAGATTTGGAGCAAGAGCAAACCCATTTATAAAGGCTTAGAAAACATTGAAGGTAGATGGAAAGGAGTATAAATTCTTTAGTTTACCAGCATTAGGGGATTAAAAATTAAGTAAGTTTTGAGATTTATATTGGATAGATCATTTACCATATTCAATAAGAGTATTATTGGAATCAGCAGTGCGTAATTGTGATGAGTTTGCAGTGACATAGAAAGATGTTTAAAACATCTTGAATTGGGAGACAAATGCTCCAAAATAGATAGAAATTCCATTTAAGCCAGCACGTGTCATATTGTAAGATTTTACAGGAGTACCAGCAGTTGTAGATTTGGCAGCAATGAGAGATGCAATGAAGAGATTAGGGGGAGATCCATAAAAGATAAATCCATTGTGTCCAGTTGACTTAGTGATTGATCATTCAGTTTAAGCAGATGTATCAAGAGTACCAAGAGCCTATGAAGAGAATGAAAAGATAGAGTTTAGTCGTAACTATGAACGTTTTGAATTCTTGAAATGGGGATCAACAGCCTTTAAGAATTTCTTAATAGTTCCACCAGGATCAGGTATAGTTCACTAAGTAAATTTGGAATACTTGGCTCGAGTAGTAATGGAAGAATAAGGATATCTATTTCCAGATTCAGTTGTAGGAACAGATTCTCATACAACAATGATTAATGGTTTGGGAGTAACAGGATGGGGAGTTGGAGGAATAGAAGCAGAAGCTGTTATGCTTGGATAAACTATATCAATGGTTTTACCAGAAGTTGTAGGATTTAGATTACATGGAAAATTACCATCTAATGTCACAGCAACTGATTTAGTACTTACATGCACATAAATGTTAAGAAAGAGAGGAGTTGTTGGTAAATTTGTTGAATTCTTTGGACCTGGTGTTGAAACATTATCACTTGCTGATAGAGCTACTATTGCTAATATGGCTCCAGAATATGGTGCTACTATGGGTTATTTCCCTATTGATAAAAAAACTATTGATTACTTGAATTTAACAGGTAGACCAGAAAGTAAAGTTAAATAAATTGAAACTTATCTTAGAGAATAAGGATTGTTTAGAGATTATAAGAGTGGTAATGATCCTCATTTCTCTGGGGAAGTCTTAGATTTAGATTTAGCATCTGTCTAACCATCACTTTCAGGACCTAAAAGACCACATGATAGAGTGCCATTAGCTGAAATGAAAAAAGATTGGGCTTCTTGTCTTAATAATAAGGTTGGATTCAAAGGATTTGGTATACCTTAAGAAAAATAAGCTGATGTTGCTGAATTCACTTATTAAGGATAGAAATATTCTCTTTCTCATGGAAGTGTTGTTATTGCAGCTATTACTTCATGCACTAATACAAGCAATCCAGAATCTATGATTGGTGCTGGTCTTTTGGCTAAAAATGCTGTTGAAAAAGGATTGAAAGTTAGACCTTATATTAAAACTACACTCTCCCCTGGATCTAATGTTGTTACTAAATATTTCGAAGAGTCTGGTGTCAATAAGTATCTTGATCAATTAGGATTCACTACTGCTGGTTATGGTTGTATGACTTGTATTGGTAATACTGGTGAATTAGATAATGAAGTTGCTGATGCTATCAAAAATAAAGATTTAGTTGCTGCTGCTGTTCTTTCAGGAAATCGTAATTTTGAAGCCAGAATTCATTAATAGGTTAGAGCCAATTATCTTGCATCTCCACCTTTGGTTGTTGCTTATGCTTTAGCTGGTACTGTTAATATTGATTTTGATACAACACCAATTGGAACAGATAGCAATGGAAAGCCAGTATTTTTGAAAGATATCTGGCCAACCAGAGAATAATGTAGTAAGGCAGTAGAATAAGCACTGAAACCATAAATGTTTAGAGATATCTATTCAAGAATTGCATAAGGAACTGAAAGATGGAATTAATTGAAAGTTAATAAGACTGATCTTTATTAATGGAAACCTGAATCAACCTACATTCACAATCCACCATTCTTCTAAACAACAGATTTGAATCCAAAACCAGTTTAACCAATTAAGAATGCTTATTGTCTTTTGAACTTAGGTGATTTTATTACAACAGATCACATTTCACCAGCTGGTTCAATATCAGAAAATTCCCCTGCTGGTCGTTATCTTAAGAGCAAAGGTGTTACTAAAAAAGATTTCAATACTTATGGTGCAAGAAGAGGAAATGATGAAATTATGGCTAGAGGTACTTTTGCTAATACTCGTATCATTAACAAATTGGTTAGTAAGGTTGGTCCATAAACTGTCTATGTTCCAACTGGAGATGTTATGGATGTTTTTGATGCTGCTGATAAACACATGAAAGAAGGAAATTAAACTATAGTTTTAGCTGGTCAAGAATATGGTTCAGGAAGTAGTAGAGATTGGGCAGCAAAGTAATATAATATATTTTAATTTCTTAGAGGACCATATTTATAAGGTGTTAAATGTGTCATTGCTTAATCATTTGAAAGAATCCACAGATCCAATTTAGTTGGCATGGGTATCTTACCACTTGAATTCTTAAAAGGAGAAAGTGCTGATACTCTTGGATTAACTGGAAAAGAGCAATTCACAATCAATGTTAATGAAAGTAATTTAACTGTTGGATAAACATATACTGTTGAAACATGTAATATTTTTATATCTATATTACTTAGCAACTGGAAAGAAATTCTAAGCCAAATCAAGATTGGACACAGAAGTAGAAATTGAATATTATAAACATGGAGGAATCTTATAATATGTGTTAAGAAAACTCGTCAAAGCATGATATATATATATATATGCATTCAAATAATATAAATTACATTCTCAAAATGTTTTCAAATTCAATAGATTTGAAACTCCATTTCCAGTTGGAATCCATGAAATATTTGGACTTTTGGCTAAGGTTTCAGCAATATGTTTAGCAGTCTCTAATTTCTTAATTTCAATTTAAGCTATTTGAATTAGTTAGAATGAATACCTGTTCCATAAGACTTGACAGCTTCATTAATTAATCTTGCTGCTTCTGATTCACCTTCAGATAAAATAACTTTAGCATTCTTTTCTTCTTCATCTCTCAAGACAATGAATTTTTATCTTTCAGCCAATTACTAAGCTACTTATTTAGCTTCAATAGCTTAAGCATATTCTTTCATGAATCCCAAATGTGTAATAGATACATCTTCTAAGACAATTTTAAATTCCTTTGCCCTTTCAATCAAACCTTCCTTAATTTCTTAAGATATCTTTTCTCTCATTTTGATCAATTGATCTGCATCATATTAAGCTACAACTGCCTTCAAAACTTCATTAGCAATTGATGGAAGAATCTTTTCTTCATAATTTAAACCAATTGTTCTAAGAGAAATATAATATGTAATTCTACTTATAAATTTCAGGTAAATATTATTCAATTGGTTTATGAAGCATTCTGATAGCAATATCAACTGTTTACAAATCTTTTGTACCAGTGTGTGATGCTACAGTTTTTGGTTAAAGACGCACCTCAGCCACGATTGGTGACTAGATATGATTATGCAATTATATACTTAAATGACTGGAATAAAAAAGTGCATTCCTTCTCCATAGACAGATTCTTTGACTCCTTAAAATCTATCAAAAATTAATCCTCTTTATCCTCCATCCACTGTATAGAAGAATGACTTAAATAATACTCCACCTCCCACAAGTAGGGATCCTGCTGTTAAGATGAGATTTGCAGCTCTTTCCATTTTTAATTATTAATTATGGAGAAAAATTAATTAAAATATTTAAGAAAGCAATTAGTAATAGTATAATGGTTGAGATCATTTAATTTATTTTTAAGTATTGAATTCCATTAAAAAATTAATCACTTTGAATATGAAATTGAATATCTAATAACAAAACATATTATCAAACAAAATCACATTTTAATAATTTAATATATGGATTAAACTAAAGTGAAGAAATCTGGAGGATTCGAATCTATGGGATTAATCCCAGAACTTTATAGAGCTATCAAGAATTAGGGATTTAATGTTCCTACCCCAATATAAAGAAAAGTATATTGTCAATTGATGTAATTTAGGCAATACCATAAATTTTGGCAGGGCGTGATATTGTGGCTTGTTCAAAAACAGGATCAGGTAAAACAGCTGCTTTTTTAATTCCTATGATAAATAAATTATAGAATCATAGTACTGTTGTAGGAATAAGAGGATTGATTCTACTTCCAACAAGAGAATTAGCTTTACAAATAGCATCAGTTTTAAAATACTTATGCAAATTTACAGATTTGCAATATTCTATAATGGTTGGTGGTCATGGTTTTGAAGGGTAATTTGAGAGTTTGGCAGGAAATCCTGATATTTTAATATGTACACCTGGTAGAGTGTTGTAACATTTATTGGAAGATAGATTAAAATTATCTAGAGTTTAAATGGTAATTTATGATGAGGCTGATTTCTTATTTGAAATGGGTTTGGCTGATCAATTAAAATAAATCTTAACTTATCTTCCATCTTAAAAATAATCATTAATGTTTTCTGCTACTATTCCAGAATAATTAAGTATTTTTGCTTCTGTTGGTTTAAAAGATTATATATTTTGTAAATTAGATAAAGAATTTCAATTACCAGATTCTATGTAATTACATTTTTTGTTAACAGCAAATGAGAATAAATTGAGTGCTTTAATATATTTGATAAAATAAATTGAGGATACTTGTTTGATATTTGCATCAACTCGATTTTTAGTGGATATGCTTTCATATGCCTTAGCTAAGTTTCATATATCATCAGTACATGTTTATGGTAAGATGGATCAATTAGACAGAAAAGAATAATTAGATAACTTCAAAAAAAATCATGTGAAAGTCCTCATCGTAACGGATTTAGCCAGTAGAGGTATAGATCTTCCATTTGTTGCCAATGTAATACATTATGATTATCCTTCTAATCCTAAAATATTTATACACAGATCTGGTCGTACAGCTAGAGCAGGTAAAGCAGGATATGTATATGCTTTGATCTCATCAGAGGAAATTCTCTACATTAAAGAAACTATGATTTATGTTGGTAGAAAATTAGTAAATGATGGAGATTTTACTGATCCAGCTTTGTCATTTTATGGTAACATACCAATAGAATTATTGATGTAAAATCAAGAGAAGTTGAATGATTTGAATGATGATATAGAGTTTTAGAATTATAAGGAAATAGCAACAAGAGCAAATGAGAAATTTCGTAAGACAAGAGGATCAGCTAAGAAGGTTAAGACAAATATTGACACAAGTTTAGTGCATCCATTATTTAAGGATAAAATATAAGTTGAGGAAGATACTAAGGATATGTTGAATTAAATAAAACATTTTAAATCTAGTTAGAGTGTGATAGAGATAAAGAAATTTGAGTAGAATTAAAAATCTGATCCTTTTATGAAGGCTGTGTCTCATTTGAAAGATGTATAAAAAAGAAAGCCTGTTACTAAGATAGAATTGAAAGAACAACCAAAATCATTGAATATAGATAATTTTATGGATCAAAAATTCTTTATTCCAACATAAAGGGATCCAACAAAAAGATCTGAATTTGAAGATTTACATAAGATTACAGTGGAGGACATAAATCCATTTGTAATATCAGATGAGACAGATGCATTAAGAAAGAGAAAATAGATGGTTTGGGACAAAGAGAAGAAGAAGTATGTAAATTAGAAAGGAAATCAATAGTAAGATAAAGAAGATCGTGGAATGAAGATAGAGAAAGGGAAATAGAGTTTTAAGAAATGGTAGAAGCAAACAAGTATTTAATTATAGAATGTTGGAGAAGAGGAAGTAAAGATTTAGTTTAAATATAGGATCAAGAAACAGTTTCTAGAGCAAGAGAAATGTTTAAGAGAAGATAAATGAGAGGGAAAGGATATTATTTTAATAAAGAAGAAGGAGGATAACAATAATAATAACGTGGAGGACGAAGATAGGAAATAAAGAGACCAGAACAGTTGTTGAAAGTAAAGATTTAATATAATATATATTAGTCTAAAAAGATAAAGAAGAATTTGAAATTGAAGAATATGGAGAAGGGTAAGCGTAGATAGATAGAGAAGAAACATAGAAAGAATAAATTGTGATTAATAAATATATTTAATTATAATGGACGGAAAGAAGGTTTTGGTTGCAGATGACGAGGCTTTTGCTCAGAATCTGTTGAAAATGCTTTATGGAGCTCTTAAAGTTGAATGTGTAGTAGTATCTAATGGAAAGGAAGCACTAGAAGCTTATTAAAAGTCACCGAATTTCGCTCATGTTTTAATGGATATTCATATGCCAGTTATGGATGGATATGATGTAAGAGAATCAATATATATTAAGTCTACTAAACAAATTAGAGCTCATGAGAAGGCTAAAGGATTACCTAAATGCAAGATATTAGGATTAAGTGGAGGTAAAATAAATTATTATTAGATAAATATCAGATGGGGATCCTAAGACAAAGGCAGCCTGTTTAACTGCAGGAATGGATGATCTTTTAGTAAAACCAATCAAGAAAGAATAATTGGCATAGTATTTGTGATTTACACAACTTATATTTTATTGATTTCTGTAACATTTAATATTTTAAAATTGAAATCACTATAATCAAAACAAAATTATAATTACTAATATTTCGATTAATTATCATAATCACCAAAATGGACACCATCCCAAATAAGCTTATGCTATATTTTCATGATTAGTTGCTTACAGTATAAGTTAATTCACTTGATTTTCAGTAGACAGCACTTCATGCTCTTTAAAATCTCTCCCTTATAGTTTTTTCTTAATTCTTTCTATTACTTCTAAACCCTTTTAATTTTATAAATCATCTGGAATTTCTCTTTCTTCATCTGCAAATTCAAAATAGATCTCTTTCTCCCTTCCACTTTCTTTTCTCTTTAAGATCTACTATTATTTTCCATCATCTATTATACTGCCTCTTCTTTTTGCTTCAGGAATAGCTTAAATTAGACTCTTTTCTTAATTCATTTCTTTATCATTCAATTAATTAATCATCTATTATGGAATCTATTTATGTAAATCAACATTCCTTGCTTCTTTCTTAGGTTTATGATCTTAAGCATTTAAGAGTCTCCATGTAAGTAAAGGATCATAAACAAAAGAATCTAATACAGCTAACAATGATCTAAATATTACATATTATTATTATACTCTTTATTTTCTCTAAGTACTCTCATTACTACATTACAAGTATGTCTATATACTCCTTCTATGCCACATGCTTCCATAGCCTTCACTAACATTCTTGTTAATCTAAATGGTACTCTCTCTGGATACTTTTCTCTTTTCATTGCCACCTCTAGTATACAATTATAATCAATCATTACCAAAACAATCTCCAAAATCTATATGTACTATTTTACCAGTTAATCTTTATAACATAAAATTTGATGGATGTCTATCCCCTAATCCCAAAATATATCCTACCATTGACATAGTTGCTAATGATCGAGTATAGTTTATTCTTCTTTCAAGCCAAACTTCAGAATTTGGTGATTTTATCCATAAAACCTTTTATAAATCTTCACCTCTTGTATTTTCTAAAATATGTCTATAAATTTCCACTTTATTAGGTAATGGTAAATTTTGATATTAAGGGCAAAATTATTCCATCAAATTGCTCTCTGCATTAGGTCTTATAGCATATTTATCTCTATATTCTCTTACTAATTATTGTAATGTATCACAATTCTATACCCAACCCAATAAACCAGTATTATGAGATAAAGGTATAACTGAGTATCTAGTTATTGTAAGATCCTTTCTTTCTGTCTCTGTATCATTAGTTAGTAAACGATTTACTAATGAAAACAACTACATCACTCTTTCATCTTACCTTAAATCCTCATGTCCTTTTAATAAAAAATGATATTCCTTTGAATCATTTCCAAACATTTTCACTTATCTTGGATGCTACTTACTTGATAAAACATCTAATCTAGGAGCAAATCCATTAATAGTAATAAGTTGTTTATTTGGTTTATATAGACCAGGAATGCTGATTTCACAATTTTAAGTAGCTAATAATTTAGGTGAAACATTCTCTAGGTGAACCTTTTTCATTTTTTCCAAACTCTTTTAAACTTTATGATAGATTCTAGTATATATATCAAAAGCAACACATAAACAAACTTAATCTTCAGTTCTCAAATACCTTTGTAACCAAGCTTCAGCCTCAAAAATTTCTTATCCATAAGTTTAATGAAATGAGATTTCACTTAAACTCTCTAATTTAACTCTCATATTATCATGTAAACCTCTTAAGATTCTTTCAACATGCATTTTATTTTTATCTTATGAAAATGATGTCCATGCCTCTTGAATACCTTCTCTCCAGGCTTCTTTTAATAAAATAGCAGTTCTATTAAGTTCTTCACTAATAATCAAAGCTTCATTAACAAGGATTGGAGAATGTTTTTTCATATCATCCAATATTTTTAAGACTTAAAGTCTTTTGATTTAATTTTTAGATTTGCATGCAACTGTCAATGGATAGATAAGAGCCTAAGGATGAATACGACTTATATGAATTAATAAATCTTGTAGTAATTATTGAATGATAGGATTTTGAATTTAGATTCTGGCTAAAATTTAGGGAATAACATCTATCCATGCAATAACATCAATTTATTTGTAATTCTATCTAAATTCATCAGAAATTGCAGCATCCATTCCATATTTAAAAATTAGAGATAAGAGTCGTAGAGTATCTTATAAGATATATCTTCCTTTTTTGATATCTCTACTTCCTAAAGATATAGATTTAAGGAATCCTTTAACAGCAGCAAATACATGTGCATTCATAGATTATCTATTTTCTTATTATTCAATCACTTCAAAATTACATAATCCATAATAATGCCAAGCTTTTGCATAAGTAGAATTATATTGTAAGGATTCATCGAATTATTTAGTTATTTATTCTAAATCATTAGGAGATTCTGCTCTTTCATAAGCCCATTTTCCAAGAGTAAAAAAAGTCTTAGCTTTTAGTTTAGAATCAATAGAACTGATCTATTCTTAATTAGTGAAATACTCCCTAACCTAATCTAGAATTTATATTTCATGTTTAGCATGTACATATTCAAATTACATATTGAAAATGTGAAGTGTAACAGGTAAAGTAGCTTATCCTTAATTCTGAAACTATTCTTTGAGTATTTCAATTGTGGATTTACATAATACCATTTTTTATCTTTTCAAACACAATTTAGCAAATTTAATCCAAATATCAAGATTATGTACTTTAGGTAAATACAATTATCTAGTGGAAAGTAAACGATACCAGACATCAATATCTTTAGGAGCTCCACTTAATCTGTCATGCCAAATATCTTTTAATTTTTTTTTACGAATTTCTAATTCATCTTATAATTTAATATATGAATATTGTCCTACATTTTCTTAAGCTGCTCTTTATACTTTGTTTTCAAATAGTTTGATTTCTATAATTTCCTCCATTTCTACTAATTATTATAATTTCAAGACTCCATCTTAAGCTCTATCATAGGATTCCTATAATAATCCTGTTACTTAACCATCTAATTTTTCTCTACTCTTTTTTACTTATACTTTAGCTTCTTCTAACTATCCTTTTGATATACAAACAGCAGCTTTCCAAAATGGTTTATCTAATTCCTCAGCATTAACTTATTCATTATAGATGGCTAATTTATCCCATTATCCTAAATGCATAGCAGCATTAGCAGCAAGATGAGCAATTTCCTTTTATTTGACTTCTTCATTATTGTTTTTAAAAATATCATCTGCTTAACCTATCAAAGTTTACCATTACATCAATGCATTCAAACATCTCATCTTAGGAACTAACAATTTTATTATTAAATCCTTTCTTTAATCATTTTCATATTTCAATTACTATTATCTGTATTCTTACAAAGCTTCATCCCACTTCTTTAATCTTTCATAATCTGTATTTTAGACCTATATTTTTAATGATTATTTTGCATAAGTCAATAAACCATTAGCAGATTCTTATAATCCTAAATTTGTGTATAAAGATATTAAAGATTAAATAGCTTTGGAACTGGCAGTCTCAAATTCATGTTCTCTATAATACAGAGCTTTAGCATATGCCATACATTTTTCAGCTAATTCTCCTAAAGAACTTATATCAATCTATAATCCTTCTTTATCATGTTACATAAATTCTGCTAAATTTAAAATTGTTTAAGAAATCTACAGTGGAATATTATCTGCTTTTATTACTCTAACTAAATGTTAAACCATTTATTCTTTGTGTTTGTCATTTAAAAAATACCAAGCTGAATCAAATGCAATATTAAATAATTCATATGCTAATGTTTAATACATTTCAGCTATTGATGAACAAGGACTCAATACTAAAAATGGAGATAACTTTAATAATTCAACACTTGTATTACGCATCCATTCCTACCATTCTTCTTTTAGTTTTCTTTGTTCTGTATCAAATTTAGCTACTAACTCATCAGGTTCTATCTTTTTATACATAGGAGCATTTGGTTCTGTTGTATAATAAGATGTATATTACGAAGGAAACAATTACTCTATTGCTTTACAATCTTCATCTAAAAGATTATTTAAATCTTCCAAATTTCCATACATCAAAAAGATTTCAACCAATCTCTAATATTGTTGATGATGTATCTTATATTTCTGTACTTGCAAATGAATCATAGGCAAATACACAAGCATCAAATTCTTATGTTAAAAGATTAAATTCACTATACAATTTAATACTGTTTGATGCATCTCTAATTGCTATTATGTTTTTGCACTCAATTCAACCAAATTTAATAAAGAATTTACAATCAAAGATAAATATTAAACGGTTGTTGGACATTTTCTTGATAAAGAAACAAATAAATTTATTATATCCTTTCTCACTTCTAACAAAACACTTGAAACCTCTTTACTCAATAATTTACACATAAATGGAATAAACATATGTAATTAAGAATCTAATAGATTCTCTAACAATATATAAATCTTTATCCCTTTTCGAACCAAATCTTTCTCCTCTTCAAATTGACTTATCTCAGAATTTATTAATCTTACTAAAGGTTCCACTTTATGTCTTAAATGCTATTTACTACTCTTTATTAATGTTTCCATTATCTCTAGTCCTATTAAAACTAATTTTGATGACTCTTGTCCTTAACAGAAAAGCATCACACAAGCAATCACCTAATCTATATATTGAGGATTAAATTATATTCCACATAAATGAATTACTTTTTATAAAGATGTCAACACTTTCTCTCTCATTTCTTCATTCCTTTATAACAAACGAGCAAATACTGGAATTAAATAATTCAAATAACTTGCTGTCTTTGCTTTCAATGTACCTATTATCCACATTATAGTTTCTAAAGCTAATTCATGATTATTCGATAACGATGGATCTAACAGAATTTATAATAAAGTCTTCAGAGTCACTTTTGAATAATAATCAATATCATTTAATTATATCACGGGAACTTATTAAAATAGTTCTTCAATATCTTAAGAATTTATAGCTTATTAATAATGAGATTAAGTATCTAAAGTTACCGATTTAGGTATCAATAAATTATTATTTTAATAAAGTAATGTGTCTTAATCAGTTTACATTTTTAACTTCCCTAAATGTAAAAACATTTTGGTGCTAAAATTACCTATTAATATCAAATCTTCACTATATCCTCTAACTTCATTCATTAATTCACTTGATGAGACTGAATTGAGAGCATTTTAATAATTTTTTAAGAACTTAAATTTTTATTTAGTTGGAACGCCTTAAACACTTTTATAAATGAATGAATCAACAGCTCCTAGATTACCTAACAATTTTAAACATTCTTATCTCATTTCTGGTATAGTTTCAGTTCTAATCAATTAGAAAATAACTTCCATTAAATTAGGAAAACGATAATAGGGAAGAACAACAAATCCTGTATTTTTGATAATTAAATTAAGAGATTTAACAGCAGCTTCTCTTTTAAGAGTTGAACTCTTATCTTACATAGCTGTAATAATGATATCGAAGACTTCTTTCAAATTAACAAGTATTTCTTAATTAGCAGTTTCTGTCAATTAAGCAAATGCCTATAATAAATATGAAGTGACAATGGCACTAGTATTTGGATTTTTAAGATGTTATTGAATAACTTTAGCTATATTATTAGTGTATGGTTAGACAATAGTACGACCATGTTTAATTAATGAAGTTAGTAAATATAATTTATTAATTGTTTATTTTTCAGGTTGATTACTATCAAATGTTAAAGTTTAAAGATATTCAAATAGAGTCTTTTTGAGAAAGGGAATAATTTCTGAAGGATTTAAAATGGATAAACGACAAAGGATTGTTAAAGCAATTTCTTAAACTTCTGAGATTGGATCATTCATGCATAGAAATAATTTTCTTAAATTATTAGGTGAATTCAAATATGGATCAAAATTTTCATTGAGTGATGCAAGCATAGTTTATCTAATATCTTATTCAGTATCAGAAATAGCCACATTCATAAATTTATCTAGAATTTCATACATAACATTTTTTGATATCATTTATTAACCCATAGATCTACCCTTCTTTATATATAGTAAACATCCTGCTTTGGCTGTGGCTTTTCTAATGATTGGATTTGAATTAGCAAGATTAGGTAAAACTGCATCCTTTACAAAGATTGCAAGACTATCTTATATATCAAATGAGAAAGTGCTTAGTGTTTATATAGCATTAGCAGTAGCTTCAGGAGATCTAAATTCTGTTGTTGTAAGGGCTTTTTGTAAATAACCTTAGAAATCATTCAAGATGCTACTGTCGAAGTTCTATTACTTGGGATTAACAAAATTAATAATCTTTCTAAGTAGGATTGCAGCAATTGTTTATAAAAGTTTTTATTAAATAAAATCAGATTGTCTTGGTTGTAATTTACATAACTAATTAAGAAACTAAACTGATTAAGGATGTAGTCCATTTAAAAGTATTTACTTAAAGAAATATGAAATATTGATACATCCACAAGGACATCAATAGATGTGAATTCTGCAAATTTTCTTGTATAATTCTAAAATATCACTTATAAACAGTGAATCATTTCAACACAAAAGTTTTTTTGAAGTAATTCTTAACGAATATGTTATATAACTTTCTTAATCAAATCTTATAACATATTTTCATTTAAAAAGGAAATAAGCATAGCTAAAGTCATATAAGATAGACTTTTATCTTTAACAGTTCTAGCTTAAATAGTTTATGATAATAGAAATTATATCGATTATTCCATAAATTCTTACACTGATTGATGTTTGGCATGTTTGGCTAAGATTGGTAAAGTCTCAATTACAGCTTTATTGATAATTGTTGATTTATGATCTTTTTTAGATAATACGTATTCTCCTTAATCTTTAATTTAGCTTTGTAAGAAGATCTGTTTTGATACTAATATAGATTACATCTTGTTTTGCATAAGTTAACAATATTTTGATCATCATGATATTTCCATGAATATATTCTTCTTCTTTTGATTTTTTTTTGGACTCAATTTCATCAGTGTATATTTTTACTAAATAATCTTAATATGATTCTATATATTCTAAATCTATTTTAAATACATTCTCTCTATGCAATTTATTTTACAATTTCACTAAATAAATCTAAGGCAGCTTCTCTTAATGATTGTTATTTTGATCTAATAGCACCATGAATAAGTGTAAAATTTCTATCTGTTTACATTGTTTAAAATAACTTATTAAAAGTTATTGAAGCTGCTTCATTCAAAATTTCTTTTAAAATAAGTACACCTGCTAATTTATATTTTTCACTCCTTAATTATTTTTAAGCTTCTAAAAAATGAGCATCTACTACTTAAGCTATTTTTGTTCCTCCTAATCTTAATAACTTACCAAATACTTCAGCACTCTTTCTTAAAAACTTTTCATCATTATATATAAATTAACCTGATACATTTGGAATGAACTTATTTACAAATGTCAACACCTAAGCCTCTTATACAGTTGATGTCAATTAATCTAATGCCAAGATTCCTCCTATTATTTTATACTTTATAAATCCTTACCAAATTTCTCATGAATCTCAGAACTATTTATAAGCTTCTAAATCTTATTGAACAATTCATCACTTTATTATATGTATTTATAGTAAACACTCTATAATTCCTATGCTGCTTTCTCTTTTTATTCATTTGGTACTTTTGCAGCAAGATCCTTAAAAATTCTCTACAATTCTGGTTTCTACATAATTATTTTTATTAGATACATACATATACATGTCAAATTAAGAGTCCTAAAACAATTCTTTAGTATACTATCAAATTTATACTCAAGATAGCAGAGACTGACCCAAAACAATATGTTTGTGAAAACTATAAAGCTGCCACTGAATTCTTTGATCAATTGCCTTCTCAAATTACAAGTAATTTAGTAAATTTAGGATCCAAGATCTTAAAAAGACTTATATTCTAGATTAAGCAACAGTAAACAAGAGATTTGTATTCCTATGTTTGACAACTTTGGCTGCAGCAGGTATTACATCAAGATGTAAGAAATTTAATTATTATGCAGTCAATCCATCATTTATTAAGATTACTAGAAATGCCTTTATCAGTTATTTAGGTGCAGGTCTTTTCATTTTACCAGAAGTGTTCAACCCGTACTTAATTTATAGAAAATGAATCATATAAGTACAAAAATAAAATTAATCAACAAAACAATCTTCTATTATTCTATGCATCTACCTTCTAATTATCCTATAAGTATTCTTTTTAATTGCCTCTGTGCACTTTTTTAAATGCTTCCTTTAAAATTATTCTTTTATTTTATGTTTCTTTTTTTTATTTCTAAACCAATTTCTAGATTCATGATTTTCCTGTAGTCATCCTTCTCATTATTTTATTATAACCAATTTTAACCCAACTTAAATATGAACCTATTTTTTAAACTATAAAAAACATTCTTTCAAATATAATTCTAAATGTTTTCAAACCTCTGTATAAAATTGAATCAACAGTAAAGAAACTATTGTTAACTAATATCAAATTTTTTAGATATTATAAGAGATGAAATAAAGATCAATCTAATTTAATAAGAATCAATTTATTTAATTTAATTCTTATTTAGATCATTAACATATTCAGATCAAATCATATTATTTTTAACTTGATTCTATGGGATTATATTGAATAAGATAGCAGTATTAACATTTTCCAAATTTGATTAAATGTGGTATATTTGTTGCTTAACACTTTCAAAATAAATTTAAATTAGAGGTTTTAAGGATATATCTTTGAGAGGTATTATGATATCCAAAATTGCTTACAAGCTTAAACTATCTTATTTAGTTTTCTCTAGAAATCTTCTTATAGTTGAATTACGTAAGGGTGTTAATTTTACCTTATCCTTATAAATTTTAATCACCCCAGAAAATAATAATAATAGGAGTAATCTTACAGTTCTTAGTAATGTAATTATTTTATAAAACTATCATCTTATATTGAGCGCTACAATAGTATATTGTTAGTCAAAAATTAATGTTTTGTATCTATAGTTTTAGGGTTGTATATAGGAAAAATTGATATAATTGGAGAGCAATAAATTGCAGGCATATATAACACTAAACTTAATTTTAGTAGAATAAGAAGAATACTTTAGAATTTTTTGTTGTCTAATTTAATTATATGAATGTTATTTTTGTTACTCAAAATTATGTATAAATAATTATCAAAAACTTAATGACTGAAACTAGTAATGTTTAATCAATAGGTTATTTACCACCGTAAATATCTAGCCACTATATTACTTTTGAAAAAGGATAAAAAGTTTTATTGTTTCTAAATCACTTTTCAATAGATGATTAAGCCTTAATATTGATCTCTCCAAGGAACTTTGAATATAGCAATTTAAGTATTCTTCAATTAAAACCCAATGATAGGTTTTACAATTTTTAGTTCAAAAATTACACCCTCTTTTAGAGAATCAAAAAAATAATTAGTTTCAATAGAATAGTTTAAGTCAATTGTTAGTTTCAATATTCTACTTTTTTGCGATTTGTATTAGAATAATTCAGCAAAAGCTTATTCTAAATAAGCACGAACTATTGAGTCTTTTATTAGTCCAAATTAGTAGGTATAAGTGAATATTTTAACTGTTCCAGGAGATTAAGCTATTGATTTTCAATAAGTTGAACAATATTTAGATTGCAAATTTAATTAAATTAAAAAGCCGTATAGATCGAATAGCTTAGTTTATACAGACAGTCCATATAAATTATACAATGTTTTGTATGCTTTTGATAAAAGAACTCTATTGTGTGATTATTTTAAATTTATGATTGACAATCAAATATACAATGAATTAAGTGAAATTTAATAGCATTATCAAGTAACAAATTTACAAACAACATTGTTCAATTTTTTTTAGAATAAGGATTAACCTAATTCAATGAATTCAGTTTAAGTAATTCGAAAAAAATTGAATAGTTAAACAAAAGAATAATATTTCTATTTGTTATAATAAATGAAACACATAAATTAAATGCATCCATAAGCAGATTACTCAAATTAGAGTATAATTTATATTAAATAATATTAGTGTGTCCAGATTGTTAAAGTGATTCTAGATGTTCATTTTTAGTCTCTAAAAGCCAAAATATATTTTTGGCTGGATAAAGTGAATTATTTGCTTATCCAATAAGAATTGAATTTGTTAATTTAATTGGTAGATTATTCTCTTAGCTAATATGTTAAATGATGCATTATGCAAGAACTCAAAATGCCAATTATAAATTGTGTAACTTAGCTTCAATAGATCGGATAGAAGAAGCCATATCTTGTCCTTCTTTTAATTTAGAAAGAAATTATTAAAACTTAGAAATGTTAGGAGATTCAGTTATAAAATATTTAACATCTGCAATGTTATTTGAGGAAACTTTTTTGAATAATGAAAGTTTATTATCATCACTGAGAATAAAATTAATTACGAATAAACATTTGTCTGATGTGTATATACCTTTATAAATTCGTTCAATGAATTCAAAGATTCATTATAAAAAAATTAGAAATCATATGACAACAACAATAAATGATGTTGATGATTTCATTTTATCAAGAAAATAATAAGCTGATATATATGAAGCAATTTGTGGTGCTTGTTATATTAGAGATTATGAATTTTCAGATGTGATAAAATTCTTTAAATTAACTAATTTTGGATTTCATGGAAATTTCTAAAAATTTTATAGAGGAAATTCTTTAATAAAATTTCCAGATTCTTACAATAATTAAATATATCCTCTAAAATAACAAAAAGAAATAAGACCGTTTGTCTAAAAATCAATTTACAATTAACCATTATAGAATTTTGAATAATTTTTAGGTTGCAAATTAACTAGATTAAACGAAGCAATGACAGTTGAAGATTATGAAAGACTTGAATTTTTAGGCGATGCAATACTAGAATTATTGATAGTAGTAAATGTTCATAAAGAATGTGAGAAATTTTATCATTCTCATGAATAATAATAAATGTGTAGAGAGGGTAAATTACAATAAAAGTAGTTGTTATGTCCAGGGATGATGCATATTGCAAAGATTTCTCTTTTAGATAATGGTTTTATGGGTACAATGGCTCTATATTATGGATATCATTAATATGCAATAGGATTATGTAATGATACTTAGAATGAGATAGAAAAGGTATTGGATTCTCTTAGGAATGAAGAATTTAATGAATTTTAGATAATAAATTAATATTCAACATAAATACCTAAGATTATGAGTGATCTTTGGGAAAGTGTGGCTGCTTGTATAATGATAGAATGTGGATGGGAAGGTGTAGTTTAGATCTATGGAGAAATGTATAAACCATTTATTTAATATGTGGTGAAGAATATTTATACTATATATGATTATCATTAGGAGATCAATAGGAATATCTAAATTGAAAAAAATTGATTTAATTATTATTTATATAACAAAATGTCAATTTAATATACTTAGGATGAATTGCTCACCTTTCAATATTATTTTAACAAGTGCGATAGGACTGTAATTATTTATTATCATCAATCTTAAAGGGTTAAGGAATACTTGATTATGATGTGGTGATTAAAGTCTTTAAGGCAAGTGGTTTGAATTAATAGATTTTAGGGGTAATGTTATTAACCAATATTTATAGAGAATATAGTAAATAACATAATCTAATGAATAAATATTCACAAAAGATGAATTTTTTGCTGCTCTTAAATTGATTGCATTAGTCTAAAAGGGTTATCCTCTAGATGAGAAGTTACTTACTTAAAATATACCCTGTCCATTACCTTTAATTCAAGGATTCTAATTACCAAATTATGATATCTCAAATGAGTAGTTGCAAAAATATGAAAATTATTTTCTAACCATAGATTAAGATGGCACTTAAATAATATAAGGCATGCAAGCAAGAGCCATGTTTTCTAAATCAGGGTTAAGTTTAGATTAACTCAAAGAATTATGGAATCTTTGTGATATTGGTGAAAAGGGACATCTCAATAAAGGAGAATTTATTGTTGCTTTACATTTAATTTAATTGTGTTCTAAAGAAAAATATCCTTTACCGATCTCTTTAACTGATTCATTATTATAAATTATTGGAAGATTCTCAAGTAATCCTAATGGAGCTAGATTATCATCAAATTCAAACATAATCCCTCAATAAAGATTTGGTTCAAATTCGAATATACTCAATTAGCCAAGACCAAGATTAGGTTCAAATGCCAATATTCGATTACAACCTATCTAAAATTTTTAATAGGTACAATCAGTTATTTTACCATTAAATATTCCAACAAATGTTAGTATGATTCCAGGAAATGATTAAAATGGTATAAATTCAACACGTTTATAAGTCAATGATTCTACATAACAAGTTTATTAAATGTAGAATTAACTAAATTAACTTTATTAAAGTATTTTGCTAGAAAAATAAGAGGATACAAAATAAATGTAAGTCTTAAATGATAAGTAAATAAATGATTGATTTGTAGTATGAAACTTATGTTGTCAAATTTATAAGAACAATATAGAGTTTTAAATGAAGAATTAAACAGAATAAGATTTTAGAAATAGGGTTTAACTTAGTAGAATTAATAATTGCAACAATAAATTGGAATTTAAATATAATAAAATAAAGATTAGTTAGCTCTGTTATAATAAGAATAATAATAGCAATAATAATAGCAATAATAATAGCAATAATAATAGTAATAATAAGAATAATAATATTTATAACCTCCTCCATAATCTCATCCATATCATTTTTAAGCCATGACATAAAATTAATAATAACAATTAAATTAACCATAATTTACTTAATAAAATTTTGGATTTCCAGATATGGTAATATAATAATATATGTTTTAATAGAATTATGGTAATTCTAGTCCTTAACCTTAAACAAATTAAATTAAGATATAACCTTAAATACATGATAATTAATTTATTCCCGATGATGTTGAAAAATATCCTGGCATATTAAAAAATCAACCAGGTATTTTAAATAATACTAAAATTAGAAACATAAAAAAAGCAAGTATCATTTGCATTAAATGACGACCCACTTCCATGGTGATTGGAAACAAAAATTAACAAAATATAAATTATAATCATTTTAATTTTCTTGGTTTATCAGACACATCTGAAATATTAAGTTCACTCTACATTTATTGTAGTTTATCTTCCATTCTTCCAATAACGTTTTAAAATTTAAATAAAAATTATTCTTGAAATTCCAGACCTGATCTTTAATAATCATCACCTTCATCTAAATGAAAACTTTTTTTTTCAAAAGGATAATCTCTCTAATATTTTGATTCCTTTAATTATTACTATTATAGTTAATGATTTATTTTATTATTTGTAAAAAATGTTTTTGGTTATCTATGTGAAACAGGTTGTGTATAAATTATGTTTGAATTCATAGGTTAAGTGTACATTGGTTATGAATATGCAGGTTAAGAAAATATAGGTTATGGATTTGAAGGTTAGGTTTAAACAGTCAAAGATGGTTGTATATATTTTTCATATTATAATGGAGAGGTATAAACTTATTATTATTATTATTAATATTATTATTAAGGTTATTAAAATAACTATTAAGGTTATGGTAAATTTTATTATTGTTATTATTATTATGGGGTTACCATTTAATTTGTGATAAACTATGGGATTTATGGTGAATTATTTTAAACATAAGTTTATGGTTGATTTTACTTTTTATCACGTTCTATTATTCTTTCATATTGAGAAAGTAGTTCTTTCTAATCTTTTATCACACCTTATAATTTCAAAACTTCATCTTTGTGTTATTCAAATAATTAATCATATTTCTACTTCTCTTCATTAATTTTATTTGTTAAAATGACGTTTTTATTTTTTAATTCCATCAATTAATCTTCAACTGCCATTTACTGTTAATAGAATGAATTCTAAGTGTCAAGTTTTTCAATTTCATTCAATTTCTCATATGATGATATTAATCCACTTTAATTATCAATAATTCCTTGTAATTTTTTTATTTCTTCAAAATGTAGTGATTGCTATTATTCTAATTATTTATTAAATTCTTCTTTTTATTATTTTATTGTGATTTCTTTATTCAGATTCGATTATCTACTTTAATCCAATTATGTTATTAGTTTTTCATTTTATTATTTGAGTGTTGTAATCTATTCAATTTATTATTCAATCAGATTAGAAAACTCTTAACAATCTTTATTTAACTACTAATTTTCATCCTATAAATCTAGGTTAGAATTCAATAGTACTTTGATTATCATAAGATAGTTAATATATAGTATCTTAAACTCTTTAGACTTCTTATGCCCATTCTTCCTTTAATTATTATTTTTCTAAGATTTCTTCGTTCGCTTCTTTAAGTTATTACTTGAGCGAATTATTTTATTACAAAAGAAGGGCTAGGCTTCCTTTGATTTCTTAATATTTAATCTAATAATCGGACATTGATGTTGAAATTTAATAAAATTTGAAAATAAAATAGTTATATAATAATATCATTTTTGATGATTAGCATTAGCCCTAATTGGTTTTGGCTTTTTGCTTGGACTTTTAACTTTTTGTACTTTTCCTTGTGTTTTTATTTAAGCACTGACTTGTTAGGTTTATTACTTTTATTAAATAGAGGATCTAGGATTATTAGTGTTTTCTAAATTATAAATTTGTTTAGATTTTCTAAATTATGCTGATTATTAGGTATCTGTCATAAATTACTATTTATCAACTTTATTTGGAGATTCATTGTGAAAATTAAGATTCTTATTGACATGAGATTCACTTAAAACTTTTTTAACATCTTCATAACAAGGAGTGAAAATTTAATTATTTTACTACGAAAGTTCTTCACTTTTAAGTTATGAAACTTAAAAAGGGATTTCAACTTATCGTAATGAATTAATAATTAATTTAAAAGTTGGTCTAAGAGGGGCTTTAACATTTACGCAATCTTATATTAATTATTTAATATGACCTAAAATAGAATAATATCAATACTTGGTATTTGTATTTAATCAAGAGTATTAACATAGGATTATAAGTTATCTTTGAGTGTTAAATTTTTATAATTATAGATTTATGCATCTTTAGGATGCACTCCAGTTAATAAATTTATCATCATGATTCCAAAATTAAAAATAACAGCTAATTCACTATTAAATGATGGAGAACAATTAACTTTTAAAGAATGCATTACTTCTGGTGCAATCATCCAATCTTCTTTAGTAACTTCATTTAAGTAAAGTTATTCAAAATCTGAAATTTCTGTAAATAATTATGTATTAACAACTTTGATTCTATCTCCAAACGATAAAATTTTTGTAGGACAAAATTAACAATTATTAACACCCATTTAATCCATAATTTAGAGTGCTTAAATTACATCTAACATAAATAATTTTAGATCTTTAATTTATTTAATTGATTAATCTGAATAATCGGCTGTTAAATATATTTTAACATAATTTGAGCAGAACTCTTCTTGTTTTTATGTCTCTAAACGATTTATACAAAGTAATGATGAACAATTAGGTTAGTTCTATGATAAAACTTCTTTAACAATCATTTTTTTAAGTGATTCCATTTGATCCTTATATTAAGACTCTTCTACAATGACAGTTTTTAAACATTAGAGTTAATCTTATGGGCCTTTGTATATTTTGATATGACCAAATAAAGGATGTTATTTGATTTCTCTTATAAAAATCCACTCAGATGAATGAGCAATACTTGGTTTGATTTATTCGTTACCCATTAAATTTAATTAAATATAATATATATATCATAACATTCCCTAAGTTTTAGGTAAGTATTTTTCTAACAATTCTGAATGTATACTTGAAATATTTCCATAAGGATTGTCAAATGATTTGTCTTTTGGATTATATACATAATGTTGACCAGCTAGTCCTAGGAAATCTCCCTTGTCATACAATTTATGCTCTTACACCAAATGTCTTAAAAAGTGCTTCAGGAGCACAAATATCCCATTTACTCATTCCTACTCCCAAACAAATAAAAATATCAGCCTAACCTTCAAGTACTGTTAAACATTTTTTTCCTGATCCTCCAACTTAATATAATTAACAACCTAATGAATTAATTTTTTATAATTCTTAATTAGTTAATCTATTTCTTTAAGTACATAATCTAACATTTAATGGATCAAATTAAGGTTTATTAAGTTCAAATGGAATATGTGATGTACAATCATTTATATAAAATAATTTTTATTAAGGATGATGACCAAAATAAATTTTAGGTTTAAATTGATATGTATTTTAAGGTTCTTAAAGTTTAATAAAAGGTTATGAAATAATTCCCATTAATGCTTATTATTTATAAGATACTCCAATTAAAGTAGTAACATTTTCATAATCTCCTTTAACAAAATCTAATGTGCCGTCTAATGGATCAACCCAAACACACAAATCATCTATTTCATATTATGTTCTAATATTTTTATCATTATGTGTTTTATTAAAAATAGTCTCATCATATAATGTGAGATTAGTGTCAGGTAAATCATAGTTTTGAGAATCCTAAATATTTTCTTCTCCTATTACAGTTAAATTTGGCCTATATTGATAGTTATTTCAATAATAATACCAATGTTTATGCAATTATTTAACAATATATGATTATGCTTGGATATCTGCTATTGTTACTGGATCATCAATTCCTTTCCATTTTTACCCTATATTAGAAGATAATCTCACTGCATTTATTATTTTTGCAGAATTATATGCTAATTAAATACCCACTGAAAAAAATTCATGAACTTTGAGCATTTATAATTAAAATGAATAATAATTAAATATTATCTCTAATAGCTGATAAAAGCAATCTATAAATAAGAGTAGGATTTTTGCAGATAAATTATTCTATAAAAATGATAACTTCAAAGATATTTAACACTTATTAATGGAAACCATAAATAATTCTCATAATGATATTAAATAATTATTATCTTCCGCTGGTATAGTAAATGGTGGTTTTTCAAACATTCTATGATTTCTCGATAAATTATAATCTGTAAAGTTAAATTACTCCTGTATCATTAGAATTCAATAGAATTTTCTATTTTTAGCAAAATCAATATAATTCTTTATATATTGAGGGATCTATTTTAGCTTTTCTTTTAGGTCATTCTATTCTTCTGGATTGAATAGGGAAATATTGAAAGAAAATGTCTAAATTCAAAAATTATGTATTTTTATTTATTTACCCATTTATATTTTAACTCTCTGAATTTCATTTTGTTATGAAAATTAAGTTATTTTTATATTTCATTTTTTTATTTTGATAACTAATTTTTTTATTTATTAGAGATTATTTAAATTTATATATATTTTGTACACATAATATAAAATTTCTTTAATAATTTATTAATGATTAATCAAACCACTAACCTTTTCAGTCAACTAGCCAATCAATATTTAAAAGGTGAAGTAGAATAAGATGTTATTACTGATCCAGAAATCCAAAAAATTGTTCATGGACTTTAAAAAAAGAGTGAGACAACTAAGAGTAAAACTTTATCAGAGCTCAAAACTCTATTACCCAATAAATCACAAGAATTCTTCAATCAATTTACACCTACTTTTATAAATATATATCGAAGATATGTTGATAATGAGTATGAAAGAAGAGTCTTAGAATTAGCCAATCAAGTTTTATCCTTAATTTGTGAATATGGAAAAAAATCCTTATCTCAAAAGTTCAAACAATTATTTCCACAATGGTTTATCATGATCAATGATTACAATTCAGAAGTATAAATCTACTTCATTTATTAATTAGATTTCATCAGCTGCAATGAATGCCTTTCAAATTGCATTCCCAACTAAAGAAAAATAAGTTTAAGCTTTAAAAATGTGTAGTGATTAATATATAGTTGATCTGAAGTAGTACTTATCATTGTCCATCGCTACAATTAAATAAGAATCTAATTTGGAAGATGAAAAAGTTGATCACATTTATGAGAGATTAAAAGTATCAACAATTAATTCCATCAAAACTGCTATATTATGGAATCCTGATAATGAATTCATTGAGTAAATTATGAAATTACTTGATTTCGCTAATAAGACTACAATAATTGTTGAATTGCTCAATACTCAAAAAACTAGAATAGTTGCAACTATAATAGAAACTTTACATTTTCTGTTAACTAATGATTTTTCAGCTCCATTTGTACTTAATAAAAGTGATTAATTACTCAAAAAGACAATATAACTTTTCGAATAAAAAGATCGTTTGATTGTAAGTGCATTATGGAAAGGTTTTGTAACTAAATTATTCTAAAGAGTTTAATAAGATCAAATATTAAAATTATAAGGTCTTGAAAATAAATCTTTAGAACTTATTTCTAAAGCTGGTTTTGGTGTTGGAAAATTATTATATGATTAACTTGTTGTATTTGTATCCCTTAATCCTATTTACAGTGTAATAGATATTAAAAAAGAAGAAGTTTTCAGATAAAAATTAGCTTCCATTACAAAATTATTAAATGCAATCTTATCAGGTATCACACATGAAGAGAGTAGATTTTTTTCAGAAAATTTAATTAATAGTTATTTTGAAACACTTTATTTTTTAATTTGTAAAAGAATGATTCCTCCTCTTATTTAATTTAATTAATGTTAAGGATAAGTTAAAAATATCATTGTACAATCAATCAAATAAGTTTTATAAAGTACTTTGTCTCAATAAGCTGTTTAAGCTTATAATCATAACCCTTATAAATAAGTGCCATAGAGTTTATTATAGTTTTTTAATATCTTAAAAGTCAAAGAAGAACATAAAGAACTCTTAATTGAAATTATAAAAGCTATTATAGCTGAATTTAAGACTTTATAATTAGAGGATTATTAAGTTTTTGTTAATATAATTTAATAATTACTCAAACTTAAGAATGATAGTCCTGCCTATCAATCAGTTTAATAATATTTGGCCTTTGTATTTGATGAAATATATAATAATAATGATTTCTAAAGAGGCTCTTTGCTCTTTGAAATCATACCAAATTTACAAATTTTTAAAAAAGACAATTTTGGTTAAAAGATTTAAGAAACAATCAATAATCTATTTAATTCGATTGAATTAGTTTCTACAGAAGAATTATTAAAAAAATGTGCTTAAATTAAAATATATATTTATAATTTATAAAGAATAAATGAGCAACATATTATTGAATAGATATTATAAAAGATTATTACTTAAGAATATAAATAGGTTATCCCTAAAGAGGAATAGTAAACTTTCAAAATAAAGTGGATATGCTTACATAATCTTGTTGATGCAAGTCTAGATCCGTAGTTTTATTAAAAGTATATAACAATGAAAGATTCTTAATAAGAATATAACCTTATTGAAAAATTTGTAAAATATTAGTAATTGTAATAAAATGAAACTTTTATTACAAAATTTTTAAGTTAATCACTTAGCATCACAAATTTAAGTTAAAAAATATTTATTCCTTGTATAATTTAAAATGCTAATTAATAAATCTTAAATATATTAATATCAAAATATACATAAATAGGCTAGTAAGTTATTAAAACGTTAGATAAAAATTATCTTTAAATATTTGAAGAGTTATCATTCATAATGAATAAATTACAACCATAATAATTAATCTTTGATGTTTTACTGCAATTGTATTTAAGAAACCAAAGTTAAAAAGGGAGTTTTCTTTATAAATTAATAAACAAAAAATATTAAGATTTATTTGTTGAGTTTTTTAAAACTATTTTACCATCAATAAAAACTGAAACTTTATCTTAACATCTCCATTTCTTTTAAGATCTGTTTTTATAATTAAATGGCTAAGAATTGTTAAACTTTTTAGATTTTAACTTTCAAAGTCCTATTTCTTGGAAAATTTTGTCTTTGATTGAGATTCCATAAGATTACTTTAAAAAAATGTATGAAAATAATTAGTTGGAATTATTAGCTATGTTTTTGGCATCAAATTATTCATCAATCATGTTATATGATCATAAGTTGAAAAGATTTATTTAGAATATTTTAGGAAATAAAATAATTCCTATTTTCTTAGATTCTTATGAATAATTAGAAACAAAAAGTTTAGATCTTATATAGGTTTTATTTAACAATACTGACATAGTTTATGGAGTAGCTTTAAAAAATCTTATAAAGTAAACAACTATAGAAGAGAAAGAAAATAATTATAGATCAAAATAGACAGATTTATTAGCATAATTAATAGTTGATTAACTTAAAATAGCTTTGGATTTAAATAATGTTAATAAGTTAATAACAATCAGATAAATTATAAATGTAGTTGATTTAAAGCAATAATTCTAAAATATTTTATAGACTTATAAATAAAAAAAATAGATTTAATATCTTGATTTGTACACTCTAACATTAAGATAGTAAACAGATCTATTAGAATTAGAAGATGAGGTAGAATTGGATGAAACAATCAAAATGTTATTCGACATGAATTTGGAAACAAATTATGATAAGATGGTTGCTTTTGATTTTATAAATTTAATTTGTGAAAGAAAAACAATCACTCCATTTGCAGCATATATAAAATAAATAAACAATTTATTTAGGCAATTATTTTAGTAGAATGTTTAATTAAAAAGATTTTACTCATTTAGTATAGTATCAGCTCTTTAATTTGTAAGAAAAATATTAAATTTTATTGAAGCTTTTCCAATAGAATTTATAGATTATCTTAATTTTGAGTTAACTGATTCTTTATTATAAATTATATAATTTTGTGAGAATCCAAATCCAGATTTTATGGATGAATAAAATGATACTTTATTTATTGAATATGCAGAAACTTTATTACGTTGTATTTAGATGGAATAATGGCAAAAGATTGATGATAGTGTATATTATCAATTATTATAATGTCCATTTATAAGTATATAAAAGGCTGCATTTATTGCATTAAAGAATATTTAAGATCACAGTGGTTTGAGTGCAGTTTTAGATGGATTTGATATGAAGAAGGAGGAAATGAGAAGATTAAGATAAGAAGATGAGGAAGATGTAGAAGATATTATAACATTTCCTTTAGAGGGTAAAATATTAACTAATTTACTTGCATGGTTAGTTGTTTTGTAGAATAAGAATTGTTCTCAATTTAAAGATAAGTATCCTACTTATTTAAGTAATTTGTTATACATTTTATAATTCTTAAACGACAATGGTGTAATGGCAAGATTTAATTATAAGGAAATTTATTAATAGGATTTGAATTTAATGGTTATATAGGATGATTAATCTGAATTATTAAAAATGATAGTTATTTCATTTTACTAATTTATTGTTGCTTAATAAAGTTATTTTAAATAATGGTATAATTAAGAATGCAATACAACTTAAAAGAGATAATTGGAGGATTTACTATTAGTGATTAGTAAAGCAATATATACAAGGGAAATTGAATTAATAGAATTGAATTAAGAAGAGTGGCGTAGTGAAGGTTTTGATATTTATATATCTAAAAATTAATAAGAAATAACAGCTACATATTAAAAAGAAGAATAAAAAATAGAAATATTAATATAGGTTCCAGCAGGTTTTCCTTTGAAACCTTTAAAAGTTGAAACTAAAAAAGGTGTAAAAATAAGTGAAGATAAATTAAAAAAGTGGAGTTTAATGATAAGAATGATTTTATAAAATGAAAATGATACTATATTAACTGCATTAAAATTATGGAAGAAGAATATTGATTAACAATTTTAAGGTAAATTTTTATATATATTTAATAATATTAGATCTTGAAGAATGTGCAATATGTTATTATATTATACATTAGAATGGAGAATTACCAAAGATGGCTTGTAGAACATGCAAACATAAATTTCATTCTACTTGTATTTAGAAATGGTTTCATAGTAGTAACAAAAGTGATTGTCCATTATGTAAGAGTTAATTTTTATGATAAAGAAATCATTATAATTTTTAAATTTCTTCATGATTAATGGATTATCCATTTTTTGCCTACTCAAGGATTTTTTCAGTGTGTCTATTTTTTTCAACTTTTTCAAATTTATCTGATATTTCTCTATGTATTTCATCCTTATCCTTTTCTGGTAACTTTTCAAATATTTTTTTATAAAATTCTTATTCATTTTTTGTAGTTTTTTTTTGTTTTGTTTTTAACAAATATTTTTGAACTTCTGTCAAGTCTTCATTAGGGAATTTCTAAATGATTTTTGAGAATAATTCATAAGCTTCACTTTCTTATCCTATTTCATAATGTGCTTTAGCAGAAATAAAATTTGCTAAATACATTCAGAAATATTGTACCTTTAAAATTATCATCCCATATTAAGATGGCTTATTTTGCTGTTTCAATAGCTTTAGCAAAATCATTAATTTATAAATAACAAATAGCTTGATTAGAGAAGACACGTGAATGTTCAATTTTAAAGAATGTTTTTTACTCAGGTGTCATAATATTTTTTTATATTTTTGGTATTGATCCAATTTTAGATAAGAGAGACTTGTAAATTTATATAGCTTCTTTAAATCTTTATTCTTTAAATAATTAAGCAGCTTAAGGTTTCAATAATTTAATTTTAAGTTCTCTTTCTTCTAATGTAAGTTTTTCATTGTCTTCAATATCTTCAACATCATGAATTTCAAGAATCCAAATTTAAGGTTCATCTACAAATTTTGAGTATTAGAAGTCTATAAATGGAATGGTTGGAAGTTTGCGTTAATTTTCAGTTTCTAATTATAAGAGTGATTTTCTAAGAGTAGGATTAACTTCAAAAACAGCAATTTCTTTATTACCCATAAGATTCAGACATAAATGTAATCCAAAATATGATTATTTATCATGTTTAAGTTAAATTTTTCTAATGTTTTTATAGTCTTTATTTAATAGTTTACCTTGTATAGAATATTCTTTAAGAGAATAGCTAATTTTGGATGTTTCAGGATTATATTAAGATTCAGGAGGTCTAGAGAATTAAGTATTAAGATATTTCCAAAGAAGACCTTCATGAATAGTGATTTTAGGTTTGGAACAGATGTCTCTAAAATCTAAAATACTATCATTGTTTTAATTTGCCATAATTTTAATAATAAAAGAAAAAATTAAAAAATGGCAAAGGATAAATAGGGGGAGATAGATGTAGATAATATAATTGAGAGATTATTAAGTGTGAGAGGGAGTAAACCTGGAAAGAATGTAAATTTATCAGAATCTGAAGTGAGAGGATTATGTATAAAAGCAAGAGACATTTTTATAAGTTAACCAATATTATTAGAATTAGAGGCTCCTCTTAAAATATGTGGTGATGTGTTAATTTTAATGATTTTATAGGCGATGTTCATGGTCAATATTTTGACCTATTAAGATTATTTGAATATGGTGGTTATCCTCCAGAAAGTAATTATCTTTTTTTGGGAGATTATGTTGATAGAGGTAAATAATCATTGGAAACTATTTGTTTACTTTTGGCATATAAAATAAAGTATCCTGAAAACTTTTTTCTTTTAAGAGGAAATCATGAATGTGCATCAATTAATAGAATCTATGGGTTTTATGATGAATGTAATAAAGATGAATAAAATGAGGTAAACGTAGATATACAATTAAATTATGGAAAACATTTACAGATTGTTTTAATTGTTTACCAGTTGCAGCATTAATAGATGAAAAGATTCTATGTATGCATGGAGGCTTATCACCTGAACTTTCTAATTTAGAATAAATAAGAAGAATAATGAGACCTACAGATGTACCAGACACTGGACTTCTTTGTGATTTACTATGGTCTGATCCAGATAAAGATGTTTAAGGTTGGGCTGATAATGAAAGAGGTGTTTCATATGTTTTTAGTTAAGAAATAGTATAAGTCTTTCTTAAAAAACATGAATTAGATCTTATCTGTAGAGCTCATTAAGTAATTTATATTATTTATTTATAATAGGTAGTTGAAGATGGTTATGAATTTTTTAGTAAAAGATAATTGGTTACTCTATTCTCAGCTCCAAATTATTGTGGTGAGTTTGATAATGCAGGTATTTTTATGCAGTCTCATTTCCAGGTTCTATGATGACTGTTGATGAATCCCTTATGTGTTCCTTCCAAATACTTAAACCTGCCGAATAAGGTGCTTAAGGTGTTTCATAATAAAACAAACCTCCTAGTGCCAAGTTTGTAAACTGATTTAAATCAGAAAATTTATATAAAACAACTTAATAGATTTATTTATACATGTTTTCAGATATTATTGAATAATTTAGATTATCTTAAATCAATATGCCAGATTAAATATTACATCAGAAGAAGATCATAATGTCAAAGAATAATTTTATAACCTTTATTCAAGAAAAATAACAACATGTTACATATTATCCACATCATATTTCTATCCATATTCAAAACTTTTAATTTTCATTCTTGAATTCTTATTATAAAAAGATGTTATATAATCTATATCTTCAATTAATATAGGCAATCTTGGTACATTACTTTTAGATATGTTGTAAACTATTACCAATGATTTTCTATTACAATTTAAAAAATTTATAAGCTTATTGATAATAAATTAAATATGAGAAGATAACCATTTATAAAGTGAAGATGCAAATTTTAAATTAAATAATTTCATCTACTGAGAGAAAAAAATTTACTAATCTCATATAATAATAGACTGATTAAATTAATTAGAAATTTATTAATAAAGCAGATCTTTCATGACTAAATTAATAAATGAATTAATATTATCAATAAAAAAATTTATAAAATAATCATTTAAAAAGAATTAATATTAGGTACATTGTAATACTTTGAAAATAGAATTATAAAATAAAGATTAGTTAATTAAAATTTGTTTACAAGATAATGATATGTTTTAAACTTAATTAAATAATTAGGAATTTAACTTAATTATTACAAAACGGAGAATTAAAAAGTATAACTAAATTAAAAATTGAATTGAAGGAAATGTTGATAAAAAATACAAATATAGAAACAAAGAAATAGTATTATGTCTAGAGCAAATATATTAATGTCTTAATAAATCAATGATGGAAGATTTGTAAGATTGGGTAAATTTATCAATTTGAGGAGAAAGAATGACATCTTCAAAATATTTATCATAGTTAAGATATAGATAATTGTAATCTAGATCAACAGAATAATGATAAAAAATCAGGATTAATACTCTATAGATTTGGTGCAAGAATCAATTCATTATAAGAGAATAGTATTGTAGATGCAATTAATGAAAAAAATAAGATAAGGAATAAATTTTGACAGAAAAACTATTAAACCTATTTCAACTTTTAGAATAATTTGATAAATTTTGGGGAAGAAATTAGGCAATAAAAGTTTATAAGAAATAGTACAAAATTAATTAAGATTGATGAAAATATTTTGTACTATAGAGATCTTTGGGGAATCAGATATTATTCTAAAACAATAGAATATCTGAAATTAGAAAAGAACAAAGATAAATAAATAAGATAAAGATAGTGTATATAGAATTTCTGCAAAAGAAAAAAAGTTAATAAATTTTATATTTTTGAAGGAAAAAGAAACCTATTAAAAAGAGGAGATGAGAATTATTTCTAAGGCTTCATCTGTCATTTGTTGTTTAAAAATAGCAGGTTCTGATGATTATTTATTAGAAACATTAAAAAAGAAGTGAATTAAATTCATTTATAATTGAAATATTTGCTTCTTATATGATTCCATTATTTTAAATAAGTTTCTTAACTCAATTTAAAATAAAATTTAAAGAATAAAAGAGAAATTCTAATTTCTTAAGTGATTAAAAATCACCAATTAAGTTTAAGGAATAATTCCAACTTATAAAATGAATTCTAAATAAGTAATTATATTAATAAAATATGGGATTTTTGTAATTATATAAAAAGTAAATATTTAAAGATGATTTGTAAGAGGTTTTTGTGATTTTAATAAATTTTGGATTAATTTTATTAAAGAAACCTGGAGATACCTAACCAATATTTTTAAAGAATATTTATTTAAGCTATTGTAATTAAGAATCCTTTATTTGATATGAGTAAATAAAATAGTATTAAATTGTCTTTGATTAATGACATGATGCTATATAAACTGCAATTATAGAATAAGTAGGATAAAAAACTTAGTTTATGATCAATTAATAATAAAAATAGTTGGGTATTGAACTTAGAAAATAATAGATCAATTAGAAAATCATAATAAAAATAAATTGAGTTGATATAGTATAGTCATTTTCAAGTTTAAAATAGTATTCATTTTTTGTATTCTATATTATGTAACAAAATCTCTTCACTTAAGAAAAAATCAATCTAACATTGTACAATTTCACCTTTGTTAAAAATTCCTTAGATTTATAATACGAAATAATACCTTATATCATTTTCCAATTAAAATGCCAATCTCTTGAAGATTCAACTTAGTATTAATTGTAATACTTTCCTTTACCATGAAATAAATTATTTTTCCATCTTCCTTCATAAATTATTAACAACTTTGATCCATCAAAAAATAATGTTCCATTACCATCTATAATAACTGTTTGATCAAGAGTCAATAATTCTCCCTCATAAAAATATCCATTTGAAAATTCAATTTATCCAGTTATTTTCTTTTATTGGTTGAATTAGTTTGCTATACAAAAATTACTAAGTTTATCAACAATTTTTAATGCTGGAACTGTTAAAGTGGCGGTGTTTGGATAATCACTTATAGTGTCTAGAGTCATTTCAGATTTACGATTATTTAAGAGTCTATAACCTATTAAACATTCAGGTTATAATTTACAGTTAATTGACTCATGATTCTAGATATTGCCATTAACAAGTTATTCAACATTTTATTTACTTAATTAAACACTTTATGTTTTTTAATGTTTAGGTTTAGCAAGTGTAAATTCTAGAGCATGGCTTAAGTTTTAAATTTTTTAAGGAGAATTTGATTTAATTAGCTTGATATTACTTGATATTATGGTCTTTTAAAATTTCACTATTTTTATGTTTTCAGAAGGACCTAAAAAAATATAGTTAGGCAATTAAATTGTTGTTGTTAACTTTTTATCTGGTGATTTTAGTGGTCGATTTCTTGAAGTTTGAGCTTTAACATTTATTCTTACAATTTACATAAAACTTATTAATTTTTTAATGATATTAATTTTTTGATGAATGATTCAGAAAATCATAACACTAAAAATAAAAAGTCGCTTTAATATTATAAATTGTGAATCATTCAATTTCAGTACTATTGTATTAGTTTACTTTTGATGATGTCTATTAAACCATTTAGATAAAAGGATATTCTAATTAATTATGAAATATATTTTATAATTTCTTTTTGAATATTATTTTTCTTCTGAACATTAAATTAATTTATAATAAACTATTCATATTAAAATAAATGGATCAATATACAAATGCCTTTTAAATGTTAGGGCAAAATATGTTTTCCAAAGCTCCACCTAGTGGTTATGGTCCAGGATATCATCCTATGATATAAACAAATTAAAATAAATAGAAATTTGATTAACTGATATAGTTAATGCAATTATAAGAATAGACAGTATAAAAAAATACTTAAAAAGGTTAGTGATTATAATATGAGAATTAAATAGAAAGAAGATCATCTTTATTAGTTGGAATAATAATCATAAAAACTCTAAAGAGATTTGATTTAGAAAGATAAATAGAGAAATGAACATAATCAAATACATTACAAAAATTATTAACCAACTTTTAGTGTTTAAAATAGTGTTCAAATGGAGGAAGTGTAACCTGATTAGTAATAATATTAGAACTTAAAATAAAATAAATCTATGTAAGTGGTCAATAATCCAAAAATTTAGTCTTAATAAATGCAAAGGTAGGCATCTTCTTAAAGTAATTAAAATTAGAGTAGACCGTAATCTAATGGAATTTAAGGGAATTTGAAATTGTAAAATATGCATAAACAAATTGAAGAATAAAATTAATATATCTAATAGTTATCTGCTTTAGTGGGGAATAGGAAACCAATATTTGATGCAGAAAAGGATGATAGTTTAACATAATTGTTATATGAGAGAGATGATTTATAAAAACAATAAATTTTGAATGAGATAAAATAATTGAAATAGAGAGTAGATGAATATGATCATAATAGATAATAAATGATACAATAACCATTTTAAGGATATGGATTTATGCCTTAATAATAATTATTATAACAATAAGGGATGATGTAATTATAGAATCCTTATGGAATGTATCCTTAAATGTATCCACCAAATTTTGAATAATAGTAATAATAAAGTGATGAATCAGATGATAATGAATTGAATAATGAGATATTAATGAAATTGATTGATTAATAAAATAGATAAAAAAAGAGAGGATCAAGAAAGAGATAGAATAGTCATGATAAGATGGATAGGATTTAGAGAAAGGATAGGAAACATACATAGAAGAGAAAATAATAAGATGATGATAATGGTGGAGATGGTGATTGAAAATTATAAAAATTTTAGTTTTGATTTTGATTTTTTTATGCAATAATTGATTATGTGTAATCAGATTGTGGAATCTTTAATTTTGGTACCTGGAAGATGATATAAATCTCTAACAGCTTTACTTGCAAATCTAAGAATATTTATTATAATCTAACCCTTTACAATAATTAGCTGGATTCAATTTATTGAAGAGACAGCTTTAAAATTTAGTTAGATTTTCTTATGCTTCAGTTGGAGCATCTTAGACTGATTATCCATATTATCCCTTTAAATAAAAATATTATGTATACTTATGAAATGCAATAATAATAGCTATCTACAAGTGGTTTACATGGTAAGAAACCATTTGGAACAGCTTTTTCATCTTCAAGATGTTTTTAGAAGATGTTTTGTCTACAAACATCTATACCTGTTAGATAATACTAACCTATAATAATATAATTAGAAATATGAGATACAATTTCTTAATCTAATAGCAACAATTCTAACTTCATCTTCAGAAGGTACTTTAAGAGTGTATTCATCATCAAATTCACTATTCTCTATAGGAGTAGCTTGTCCTGTGAAAAAGAATCTATTCATTAATTTATTTAAAATGGATGAACAAATAATAAATGTTATATTTGATCCAAACTTCACTTCTTTTGATTAGGACTTAGCAAATATGAACTTAGATAAGATGATGTAAGTCACATTTTCAGAAGAAATCCTTTAAAAGAACTTTTCTGTCATTATCACTATTCTTAAACAGTTACATAAGGGTATGGTACTTATGAATGGATAAGTTAAAGATAATAGTGATTGGGTTTAGGTAATAGTAATATATAAATTATAGAAATTAAGAGAAGAATCACAATAGACTGATACAAAGGATAAAGTTGATGTAATTGATTCATAAGTAAAAGAAATTCATTTGAATTATGCTACTAAAGCAGAACTCTAAGCTTTAAAATAAAGATATGGTATCAAATCTACACCAATTATTCTTTAGATAATATACTGAGAGATTAAGATATCTAAATTAAGGAGATTGTTAAAGCATAAGAATCAGAGTAATAATAAATCAATAAAAATGCTGAAGATATCATCTAGAAATAGCAATAGATTGATTTAATTAATTAAGAATTAGATAAACTTCGTAAACTTATCAACGATCAAAATAAAATAATATCTGATTTATAAACTTAAAAGCCTGATACTAGTATTTCTTAGGTTCAATCAAAGCCTTTAAATGATGACTCTTTAAAAGACATTCAGAATCGATTAGCTTAACTTGGTAATATATTTAATTCATATAATTTAGAATCTTAATATAAAGAATTACTAAAATAATTGAATAATCAACCAAAAAATCTAATTTAACCACTTTAAGTAAAAGATTAAGATTATATTGAATAAAATAATTCTGAAGTTGATTTATCTGGTATCAACAAAAAGTTAGATAATCATGAAGAAGAAATTTAAAAATTATTTGAATTAATTGATGAATTAAAAAAAAAGAATAGAGATGTTGTTTCTGTTGGAGGATCTAATATTGATAATGAAGATTTATTAATCATTAAAAATGATATTAAAAAACTCTATACTTTATTAGAATAATTACAAACTTAACTAAATTTAGCATCTTTTGGAAATTCTGCTGCAGGTGAAGAAGGTAGTAATATTGGTGAAAATTAAATGGTCATTATACTTGCTGAAATCAATAAAATTAGAGCATTATTAGAAAATTATGCTACTTAATAAGATCTAACAAATCTGGGTTAAAAAGTTGCACTCTAATAAAAATAAACATATGATCATATTGATGAAGAAATTGAAAAAGTTAGAAGAGAATTTAAAATAAATCTTGGTAAAAAAGGAGAATTATCAGAATAAGAAAAAATAAAGAATGAAATTTCTTAAATTAAAGATCTTTTAAATAAAACAAAAAGGGGTTCTTAACCATAATTAGATAATAGTCCATCTAAAGGACCTTAATTAAGTCCAGATTTCTTAAATACTTTTAAAGAATTATAGGATTAAGTTGCTTAAAATGAATAGTAATTATTTTATTTATATAATTAGAGAATTAATTAATCATAAATCTTAATTTTCATAAAATGCATAATAAGTTTAATAAAAAATAGCAGAGTTAGAGAATAAAATGAAATAAACCAAAACTGATTCAATTATTTCAGGTTTATAGGAATTAAGAGAAATTTAGGATTAAATGAAAAAAGATTAAGATACAAATAAAGCTAAGATAGCTTAATTTGGTAAAAAAATTGATGGAGTTGTTACAAGAGAAGATCTTTTAGCTTTATTTGAACCAAAATTAAAATAAACTCGTGATGAATTATCTAAATCTATTGAAGAATTAAGAATTAAATTAGAAAAGAAGGCAGAATTAGAAGATTTAGAAAAAATATAAAATGATCTTGTTTCTAGATTAGAAGAAGTTGTTTAAGCTCTTATAAAATAATTAGCTAATAAATCTGAAACTAAGAAAGCTTTAATATATTTAGAATAACGAGTATAATTGTTTTATGATAATTTAGATTAATTAAATATTCATGATGCTTGAAGGAGAAGGAGGATCTAAAGATTAAGAAGGATTATTTGCAAAAAAATAACTATGGTCTTGTGCTTCATGTGATAAAGAATTAGATAAATTTAAAGGATAATTAGGAGATTATAGAGGATGGGCACATTTTCCACCTAAAGAAACATCTCCTGAAAGAATGGGAAGAGTATATATTAAATAATATTATTTTAGTTTGGTGTTGGATACAAATAAATGTAAGAAAAATCAAAAAACAATAGAGATAAAATAGATAAAGAAAGATATCAAAATGATAAAGATAGACCAAATAGTCAAGCCAATCAATAATTCTATTAAACAGGATCATAAATGAGTTAGAGCCAAAACAATCTTCCAAAGATTAATAAATGACATTATATATATTTAATGAATAATTAGCAATAAATTATAGCTGTCTTAAATAAAATCAAAGAATCTTAATAAAAAATCAAAGTTAAGACATCTAAATATCTTAAATAGCTTGATATATTCAAAATGCAATTAAATACTCAAGAAATTAGATTACTTTTAATAGGTAATGAATAATTACCATATGGATTATTGTATTGTATTGGAAATAAATCAAAAGTTGATGGAAGTCTAAGAAAATCTGCTTATTATAGTGCAGAATTATTTCTTAGTATTTTAGAAAAACATCCTTAGAGAGTTGAATTTATTAAAGTATTTGCTGATCTTGAAGATGATGAATACAAATTACTTTCATTATCTACTCATGTTTTAGCTGATAAAAAAATATAAGATAAAGGACTTGTTGCTTTTAAAATTATCAAATTTCTAAAAGATGAAAGACCTCATTTTAATCTTGAATACGTTCTTGAAATAAAAAAACTCAAAGAATAATTTGAAACTTGGTATAAGAGTGTTAGAGTTTAATAAATTTAAGAACAAATTAAATAAACATCATGGAAAGAATCTGATTAACCTCCTCCAGAGAATTTGAATTTCTAAAGGGAATAAAATAAAAGATAAAAGAAATTAGAACATATTTCTTTATAATGGGATGGAAATCCAGAATATTTAATTAAAACTTTTTATAACCCTTTTATTCCTTAATAAAGAACTACTAAATCTAGTAAAAATAGAGATGCAGCATTAAAAAAAAAGTAAATTGCTGAAAGTTTGAATGCTGTTATTGATGTAGAATCAGTTGAATAAATCAAATAATAAATTAAAAATTTAGATAAAGTTATTGTTAAAATTCATCTTGATTCTCCATAATTTGATGCATAAACATTTTTAAAATTAGTATAACCATAAATTACAAAATAATCTATGCTTATGTTGTAATAGTAAAATGTAGAAATGAATAAAAATATTGTCTATTATTTTATAGATGATTTTTTTTGTATTAATTAAGGAATCTTATAGATTCATAATGAATTTATTTCTAAAGAATACAAAGATCAAATAAAAAGAAAAAAATCCTTGGCATCTAATGATAAATAAGGTCAACCGATGCAAGTTGATCAAATATTAATTTTAGGATCTCTATCCAAAAGAACATTTTAATTATTATCAAAATTGAACTCTATTTCACAATCAATGAATTAATTAAGAATTAGTTAACAAAATTTAAAATCTGTTATTGATTTTATAAGAAAATGTGAATAATATGTTTAATTACCTAATTAATTAAAAGAAGCCTATTTATAAAGAAATAATGCTCAAGTTATGAAACTTATTTCCCTTTAGAAGGAAAATATGAATCAATATAAAAATATATCTTTGTTTAAATAGTTGAATGAATAAATAGATCAAATAATGAAATAAATATATAATGATATGCTTCAATAAATAAAACAAGAAAATTTAGAATATAGTCAGATTTTAGAAATAGCAGAATACATAAATGAACTAAATCTAAATTAAAAGAGCACTTAAGATATTGTTAATCATCTTTAAGAATCTATAAAGACGAGTTTTAATTCATATTTTAATAAGACATTGTAATAAAGAGATAATGAAGCTTATTAAGTTGAAAATATAAGAGGAGATTTTATAATTGAATTTCTTTAATAATGTACTTTACCGCAAAAAGATTTACAACTTTAAAATTGTAAAGCTTTAGAAAATTTTATAAATGGTAAATTTAGTAAACAGGTTAAATAATATTAAAATTTATGTAGAGATCTTAATATAAACCCAAACATGCAAAAATTGAAAGAAGAAATTGAGAATAAGATGTTATTATTCTTGGATTAAGCTTAAAAGTCGTGGTTTTGTTAACAATACAGTGCAATATTGTGTTAAAGAATAAACCAAGATATAGATTCTATAAAGAATATGGCTTTGATATTATCAAATTTATTAGGTGAAACTCCTAAAATTGATAATTTTATAAGTGATATAGAAGTTAAGTCATTATCTTTATAATTCTCAAATTATACATTAAAATAGATAAAAATAAATTTTGTAGTTCCATAAAGAGATTTTTTTGGAGTCAATTTTTCTGAATTTATGTTATAAATATTTAATGAGATATTAAAGTAAGAATATATTAAATTAAAATAGAATTTCAAAAAACAAAAATGTTGATGGAGTTCTTTTTTTATAATTAATAAAAGACAGTTTGGATTATGTTTAATAAAGTTGTAAAGAAGCCTGTGATTATTTGATATTTTTGCACAATATAAAGTTGATTTCTAGTTAAATCAAAGATTTAGCTTAGAGTGTGTATTAAAGTTCAAGAAAGTTTAAGACCTTTAAAGAATTTGCAGAGCCCATTCAATAGTAAATAAATGGAATGTTATCTAAGTATCATTAGCCATGTCTTCAGAACTATGTCAAATTATTAAACCTTGATCCACCATAAATTATGGATATTATACCTAGACCCTATGTTGTATAATGGTTAACAGTTTTAAATGAATAGGCTGTAGTTTTGGCCTAAATTAGTTTAGATTAATCAACTACTGATTCAATTATGTCATTTATTGTTAGCTAATGTTTTAAGAATATAGAAGCTGTATCCTAGAATTCTAAACGTGTAAAATTGTTAGATTAATTAAATTACGAGATTAATTTAATTAAAACTATGACAATTACATTTTAAGGGTCTGTATCATAGGAAGGATTTTAGTAATTGTAAAGAAAACTAGTAGAATTAAGCCAAAATTCCTTATCAGAGACCACTGAATGGGCAAGAACTTAAAAATTTAAAATGTCATTTAATTTTAAAGCTTTATATGGTTATTATTAACAATAATGATGAAATTTTAATTATTTTTATATTAAAATAATGTTTACTGGTTTTGAAAATATTACACTATATTTTTTTTTTTAATCTTAAATGAATCTAAAACTCTTTTTTGATGACATCCTCATTCAAGTAAATTTAAAATTTAAATTCAAAATTTTTTGATAAGGAATGAATAATCTAAATGTTTTAATAAATCAAAGTTTCCAAATTGGTTTATTTTAGGCTATCTCAACTAGATTTGAAGAAACAAACAATAAGTCTGGTGCTTCAAGCGAAAATAAGAAAATTATTTGAATATTACTTTACTTTCAATTAAAATCCAAAATAGTTTTTGGACAATTTTAAATGAAGATTTGAAAATAGAATCAAGAATTAAGATTTACAAAAAAATTATAAAGAAATGCTCATAAATTTTTAAATAAATTAAGCAGAATTGTTTAAATAAAAAAATCGATGACAGACTAAATGATTATCTCAGAAATAATTTTATAAATAAAGCACATTTTATTAAGCTAGAGGAGAAGGAGATAAATAAACAAACAAAGTCTGAGTAATTTTAAGTATCTTTTGGGATTAGAATGCTCATACTTAGAAACTTATTAATTTATCCTTAAAGGTCATTCAATTTACTGAAATCTCTTTATTGTTTATGACTAATTACAGACGAAATACTTATATATTCCAATATCTATTGAGTGCTAAATTCATAACCTAACTCAGCCAACTTTTTATTAATAAACTAACTTAATCTAATTGCCTAATTAAATTTAAAAAAAAATTAATTTTTTCTTTGTTAAATTCCTTTGGGTAAATTTCAATTCTACTTCTCCACTTTTATTTTAAAACCGAAAATAAATTTTAAATTAATCAACATTGTTTAATAATTATTATACACAATAGTATTTTTTCAATTATTAGGATTTTATAAATCATTAAAGTAAAACAACATAATTAAGAATAATATATATAAATGAAGGATGAATTGGCTTGTTTAATTGTATAGGTGGAATGGAAAATCTTCTTTCCAATTCATAATTTTATGATGTGCCTTTTTGTATTGAAAAAATCTTCTACAAACATTGTAGTTTATAATTATAGAAAAGAAAAAAAGTAAAATAAAAAAGATATTAATGATACTAAGAGGAGAATTATATACTAATAAAGATGTCAAATTCATACATTTAAATATGATGGAAAAATAATGTTAATAGTGTTAGAATGAAATACATAATCTAAGACATGAAAATAAAGAAGAATTTATTTTAGAAAATATATAATAAGAATTTATAAAATATACAAAAAGATCTTAATAATTTTGCAAAGGGAGTGGAGTTTTCAGATGATCATAAAGAAAAAAAATTTAAGTTAGGTTTTATAAAAAAATAATATTTCTAAAGAGTAATTTTTAGCGAACTAGACTTTTTAATACAAAAAGATTAATCTCTCATAAGTCTTTAAAATAAAAAAAATAAACTTTCTTCTACTTATTTTATTAATAATTTCTTATAACTATTGTTTATTATATCAGAATAACTAACTTAATTATTTTTATTCAATTTATATGAATTAGTCAGATTGGTTTTCTATAGAAAATGATGAAGATTTCCTTTAATAAGGGGTTAATTAATAGAAAAAAGTAAAATCTGAAATGGAAAATATTGTTTCCAAATATGAGAAAGTAATCTTAGAAGAAAATTTAATCAAATATATTGTAATTGCTTCTAAGAATGATGATCCTTCTAAAAAGGTTAATGAAAAATCTAGAATAAAAATAAAGTGTGAAGAAAAAGATGAAAAAGCTAATTTGCTTAATCCAACCCAATATCTAAATACATTTAAAATTTCCTTATCTTCAAGCATTCCTCTTATAAAAGGATTTCGTTTAGCCCTATTATCTATGAAAGAAGGCGAAAAAGCTTGGTTTAAAATATCAGGAGACTTATTAGAAAAACCTGATAATATTGAAAATTCTTTAAAAGATCATGTAAAATATTATTTGATACATATTGAAGAAGTATCACAACCATAATAACAATTAGATGTTACAAATGTTGAAAAGTAATTTTTCATTATTATTTATAGTCGTTTAATATAATTGGAAAAGTTCAAAGAAGAAGGAAATAAATTATTTTAAAATGGAGATTATATTGGGGCTGCTTCTAGATATTTGAGAGGAATTAATTTTATTGAAAAGTGGCCTAAAAATTTGAATAAAGAAAAAAACTCTGAAAAAATAAAAGAAGACTTCTATCTTGTCTTAGTAAGTAATCGAGCATAAGCATTATTAAAATTGAAAGATTTTTAAGAATGTTAAAAGATTTTAGAGCCAATAATGCAACGCCTCGAATAAAGAGTATAAAATTTAAATTATATCTCTTAAGGAATATAAGATTAAGTGTTATTACAGACTTATTTCATGTTTAATTAATTTAGAAGAATACTAGAAGGCTCTAGATTATATAAATATAATTAAAGAAGATTCTAGATATCCTTAGTTTGAATAAATATTTAAGGAACTTGAGGATGATTGTAATTAGGGTCAATAAAAATGAGTGTAAGTAATTTTTAATTCTATAAAAAAACCTCACTAATATTAAAGTTGTTTCTATTTTCTATTTTATGTAAATAATGAATTGAATGTAATCAATAAATATTTTGATTATAATAAATAGCACTCATTTAATTATTGATTTTAAAGGAATATCTTAAAATATTTATTCTTTATCCATTAAGTAATCAAAAACAGCAGATTATACTCCAAAGTATAACCTAATAGCTATTTCTCCAGAAAAGGAGGGAATATGCCATAATCCAAATAATACTCCAAAATAAAGTGAAGTTATAGGAATTGCTGTAAGTTTAATAATTAATGGATTTTTTGACTTTGTCAAATGAATACATTATTTTAGAATGGATTATCGTAGATGATATGTATTATGGATAGCCATTCCAAATGCCATATAAGACCCATAATGATTTCTAAATGTATAAATTTTGTTGCTATAAATGTTGAGAGATATTACTTATCTTTGTTAAGGAATCGAAAAACAAAGGATTGAAAGGCACAATAAAACTTACATTATAAATTAATAAATTTAGTTTGCCTATCAATGGAATCAAGTTCTTTTTAAATTTATTCTTAATTCATTACAAAAATAATAATAAATATTATCACTATTGATTAATAGTGAATTTGATTAATTGAGATTAGATTTGTATATTATTGCTAAATTAAAAAGTATTGATTTATCATAATGAAAAAATAAATAAATGGAGAGAAAACAAAGAAACTAAAAATTGAAAAAAACATAAGAATTTCTGAAAATTATAATTAACATAATAAACGAATTTGAAATGGTTTATTAACAGTATAATTAATTAATTAATTAATATATTCAAATTCAAAAAATGAGCAATGAGAACATGTACACAAGTGATTTATTTTAATCAACCGTAATGAGCAAGTCGTATTACTAAGTGTTATAAGACTCAAATTTAATTGAATCGTAAGTGTTACAACCTGTTTGTTAAATGGCAACTTCTTAATATATGACATAATCTATGTAAAAGCCTAAGAAGATGGAATTATTTCATTAATTGGATGATGAGCATGATTCAGAAGATGAAGGAATTGAAGATTATAAGATAGGTGGTTATCATCCTGTTCATGTTGGAGAAATCTTGTAAAATAGATATGTTGTTATACAAAAATTAGGTTGGGGACACTTCTCAACTGTATGGTTATGTAAGGATTTTAAATTTGATACATATGTTGCAATCAAGATTTAAAAATCAGCTGAAAATTATCTTGAAGCTGCATATGATGAAGTTGAAATATTATAAAAAGTAGCATAACATGTAGGAGAAGAAAAATGGTTAAAAAAATTAATATAATATAAACCAAATTAGAGATTAAATAGAGATGATACTCATGTAGTTTAATTATTAAATTCATTTGTATATAGAGGTCCATATGGATGTCATTTTTGTATGGTATTTGAGATTTTAGGAGTAAATCTATTGGAGATAATAAAAAGATATGAATTTAAGGGAGTTCCAATGAGATTATGTAGAAAAATAGCAAAAGAAGTATTGATTGGATTGGAATTTTTACATGATCATTGTGGAGTAATTCATACAGATTTAAAACCAGAGAATGTTTTATTATAGTTAACATAAGAAGAAATAAAAGATATTATAGAGAATGGTTAATTAACTAAAAATTAGATATTTAAAGAGAGATTAGATTTTTACCATTAATTATTTGATATAAAAAAGGAAGAACCTGTAAAGCTTGAAGAATCTGTAAAAACTGTTATTCATGAAGAAATAAAAGTAAAAGAAAAAGAATATGAAAATGAAAATGAATAATAGAAAATGACTAAAAATTAATTAAGAAATTTGTAGAGAAGATAAAAGAAAAAATAATAAAAATTATAGAAGTAATAGGAAATAGAGAATAGAAAGGAAGTATTAGAATTAGATACAAAATTGAAAGAAGAATAAGTAATAGAAGATAATGATAGAAAAGTAGAAGATTAGATTATAAAAAGTAATTTGTTTTAGATAGAAAAAAAATAATTATTTAAACAGATTTAGAAAGATGAGTTTTCAGTAAAAGTGGCAGATTTAGGTAATGCTTGTTGGACTCATCATTAATTTTCAACATTAATATAGACAAGATAATATAGATCACCAGAAGTATTAATAGGTGTAAGATATAATTAAACAGCTGATATATGGAGTTTTGCATGTATGTTGTTTGAATTGTTGACAGGAGACTTTTTATTTGAACCAAGAAAAGGAGCTAATTTTTCAAAAAATGATGATCATTTGGCTTAGATTTAAGAATTGATAGGGAAATTTCCATAGAAATTTAGTTAGAGAGGATTGAAATCTAAAAGATACTTTAATAAAGATGGAAATTTATTAAGAATACCTGTATTGAATTGTTGGTCATTAACAGATGTTTTAATAGAGAAATATAAATATAATCCTAAGGATGCGAAAGAATTGGGTAATTTTACATAATTAATGTAGCTTCTTTTTTGTAACCTATGTTAAATCCATATCCAGAAAAGAGAGCAACAGCATAATAATCTTTATAACATTCTTGGTTATAAAGTGAATCAGATGGAATAAAGATGAGTGATGAAGAATTTAGAGAATATAAAGTATAGAGAGGTTAAGTTGAATTTAAGAAAGTATTTATATAAATTAATAATAAATAGATAGCAGAAAGTGAAGAAGAAGATGCAGATAGAAGTGAAACACCTGAATTAATATTACCATTACCATCTAGATATAGATATAAAATAGAACCAAGATTTGTTAATAGAAATGAAATAGATAGATCTTTTACAGATTTGGGATATATTGGATTTGGAAATGGTATAGAAATTGATATGTTGGATTCAACAGGCAATTGGCAATTCATTAATTGATATATCATTCTTAAGTTGTTTTTGGTACTTTGTAAGATGAACTCTTTTTAAATAGTCCTATTTTAGGAGATTAACTATTTAATTTCTATATTGCATCATCCAAATCTGCTGCTTCTTCATTTACATAATCATCATCTTTACTCATCTATTTTTACTAGTAAGAATTCTTTAATGCGAATTTATGTAAATCTTATTAATCTTTCTTTTTATTTTATGGAGAAGCCATAGTATTACTAATACTATCTTATTAAACAGTTTTCATTGTTTAACAAAATTAACTAAATTTTGATTATTATTATTATTATGGTTAAGCTTTTTCTAAACGGCTTGTAGATCCTTATCCTGAACAAACGGATAAAGATCCTACAGTATCAATTCTTCCATTTAAAATTGGTGATCGTACTACTAATTCCATTGAACCTACCTAACTATCAAAACTTCCTTTCTTTTATAATCTTCTTTCATGCTCTATCTCATATTCAATTAAATTCTCATGGATTTCTACTAAATCATTTTTATTAAAAATTTCTTCAAAATATGGATGTTATAAACATGACTCAGCACTTGGTCTATCTTTTGGATTTTATTATAACATTTTTCTTAATAATTCTTATAATTTCGGAGATGCCTAATTTATTAATCTTAATACTTATTAAATTTGCTTTATATTATAGTTTATTTCACAATTTTTATTTGCTCTTAATATTGCTTTATAATCTGTTCCTTAAAATGGTTATCTTCCAGTCAATAATATATAAAATATAACACCTGCACTAAATATATCACATTTCTCATCATAAAATGGATCATCTTCTTTATACATTAATATTTCTGGTGCTACAAATCCTGGAGTACCACATCTCTTAAAAAGAATCTCTTCTCCTAAAAATGCTCCCAATCCAAAATCTGCTATTACAACATCTACATTTGACTCTTTTGATTTTAATAACAAATTTTCTGGTTTTAAATCTCTATGTATGCATTTCTTACTATGTATATGTACCAATGCTTTTATAAAGTTGTACATTAATTTTTAAATAGTATCTAATGAAAATGGATTTGTTTTTGCTCTAGTAAGTAGTTCCCCTCCTTAAAGTAGATCAATTACAAAATAAATTGAATTTTATGTCTCATATGCTTCATGCAAATGTACAAGATTCTCCTAATTCAATCTTCTCATAACACGTATTTCATTCTCTAAACTTTCCTTCCCTTTAAATTATTCTAACATAAATTCTTTGTTGAATGCTTTTATAGCATATTATACTCCACTTTATTTCTTTGCTGCCAAATACACTTTCGCAAAACTTCCTTTCCCTATCATTTTTGTTACTCCAAATTCATCATGAAATGTTGTTTATAAACATTTATATGCTAACAATTGTTTAAATAACATTGCATCTGTTGTTATTATATCAATGAATTATCCATTTCTTAATAATCTGATCATCACTCCGTTTTCATTTTTTTAAATAGTCATCACTACTACAGTCAATAATAGCATCCCATGAGGATTCTTATTTTTAAATAAATACAAATGTTCCTAACCCAATTGAATTATTATTGGTTTAAGCTTAGAAGTTTTTCTGCTAATTTTATGACACACAGATTCAAAAATAATTGAATCATTCTATAGATTTTCATATTTTATTTACTTCATATGTACTGAGCTAAAACTTAGACCAAATATGTTTGATTTTAGGTATTACTTCAAGATTATCAAAGAATGATGTAAATTCATTTAGAATCATTTAACTTGAAAATTAATTATATTATTGAATTATAAATCAGTATCATTTCAATAACATCTTTTATAATATCACCATTAATAAATATTGAATCTCAATAAATTAAATTTCTTCAAAAATGGTTCATACTGCATACTTTTGTCTTAGCCAACATTTAGATCATATAATGCTTGATTAATAGAATACATACATAGATTCTTTATTAAGAAGAATTTAATTCTTAGAATAGGTTAATAATTAGATTTTTTTTCTATAAAAAATTTTTAGATTTTTGAGTCAATATAGCAATTTATTTGATAAGTATCTATTTTTCAAAATACAACTTGAGAATTTATCAAAATATTAGATTACTTATAAAAAAAAAATAAAAATATTATTTATAATTACATCAATCAAAAATAACTTATACATAAAAATATATCCTTAAATTTTTTTGTTATTGCAATTTTTAAATGAAACCCATTATTAATCTGATATTTTTTCTTTTTAAATGCGTTATTTACAAAAGTAATGCTGATTATTTAAATTGAATAAATTTTTTTCTAAATTTTTTTAATTTATTTTCATTAATTTAAAATAATTTATATTGTTCTAAAATTATTGAAGTTTCTCTTCTCAATAAAAATTTCTTCATTAAGTTTGCTGAAATTGAGAATCTCATTTTTGATATAAATTGATTAGAAATTAAAGAATATTTAAAATTTATAAGAATTTGTTAAAAAGAATAATTATAATCATAAATCATATTGATTAAATGTATTTCCCTTGATGATTTCAACAATATGAAATTCCCAATCTTAATAGAATGGATATTTATAGATATTTTATGATGCAATTAGCATATCTATTAAAGTTAAATCTAAATTAATTTCCTTATTTAATTATTATTGATCATCATCATTCAAATCAGTCTAATCCTCTTTTAATTAATTTTATTATTCATCTTCTTCATAATAACTATCATCCTACTCTGAAATTATTCCTTCTTTCTTTTATTTTTTTAATGCCTCCTTATTTTCCAATACTGTATTTCTTCTTTTACTTGTAGATCCTAAATTACTGATTGCTCTTTTAAGTGTAGGTTTTTCGATTAAGTTAGGATTATCTTCTGGTTAATTTAATGTAGTTTCTTAAATATCATTATTATTTATAAATTAACCCTAATTATTTTATGGAGTTAATATTTAAGTTATTTTAGGTTGAGATAATATCTATTGAGATTATAAATTTAAATCTTCTGGGGCATTAAGATCTAATTTAGATTATTATAAAATTATAGTCTTTTAAGATTTTTAGGGACTGTTTTTAATTTTTAATTTCTTTTTTTTTGGTATATTTATTTTATTTGATTGATCATTTTCAAAATCACTAATAGATTGATCATTATTATACTATTTAGAAGTTAAAGGAGTAAATATACTAGATTCTCTGAGCTCATGTATTGATTACTAATTTGGTTCTTTGGGTGAAAATACTTGATGTTCAACGATTAAAGATAATTAAGGTGTTTCCTCAATAATCTCTTAAGCTTCAACAATAGGAAATTAATATTCTGGTTAAATTATTTCTGGTTATTAATATTTTTTAATTTTAATAGGCTATTTAGGTATTAATAAAGTTTTTATTATTTCCATATGGTTTAGAAGCTATAGAACTTACTTATCCAATTTGTTATTTTATATATAATAATCATTGAAATCCTAATATAAGCAATCATATTCATCTTTTAGTTTTACAAGTTTAACTTAAAAGGTACACTATTAAAAGGGTTCTTGATAGAATTATTAAGTGGAAAATAGTAATTTTACTCTTCCCATTAAATTTTTAACTTTTTCTTAAATTTATTGATCTTTTCTATCATTATTCAATCGATCAAGTCTAATAGTAGCACTTGTATCTTTAAATTAATATAAACGAGGGTCTCTTGAATTGACTCCATAATCTTTAGAAGGTTACATTAATTACTTTAATTTACTTCTATATCGTCGAAAAGTATTGACAACTGATGTACCTTAATTTGTTTATTAGATTTAAGTAATGAATTCTCCTCCATTTCGATAATCAGCTGTTTTAAGCTTTTCTTAACTATTATATATAGCTATTGTCATTCCTCGAACTCTCTTTTTAATTGGAGATGGATCATAATTTCTTAGGGGACTGCTTTAATATTTAATCATTGAAGAATTTGAAAGATTATTATCACCATAACTGAGACATTAATAAGAGTCTTTCGGTTATAATTTTAATGCTGGCAATCTAAATGAATTAGCTTAAACTCTCATAGTATTTTATTTAATTAAACTATTTATATACAAAATTAAATAAGTTCATTGAACTCATTTATTTACACTCTATTATTTTTAAATCATTATAGGAATAATAAATGTCTAAAAATTACTCTAATTATCCTTCTAAAACTATAATCATTTTATTTTTAATTCTTATTATTTTTTTCTATTTTTTCTATTTCAATTTATTATGAAAATATTTATATTGCAATTCTTATATATCAACTAAAACAATAAATATTTGAAACCATCTTCTTAATTAGTACATTTAATTCATTATTATTTTTTAATATAAATTATCTACGAATGGTAATTTATTATTTAGAAATAAATTCAAAAAAAGATAAAAATGAATAAATTTTTATTAAAAGATAATAAACTAGTTTTAAATTGATAGAAATGATTTTATATCTTCAAAAATAATAATTATTAGAACAATAAATTAAATTTATAAAATAAAGTAGTTCAAAATAATTCATAATTATTGTGACGTCATTTAATTTAAGATTTAGGTAATTATCTAATTACAATAATTTAATTTAATTTATTACAATATTTCATCAAAAAATGCAATAAAATAAAAATTTCTTAACTGGTTAACTTCAAAGAATAATATTGAACAAATAATCACAGATAGATGAAATTAAATAAATTTAAAGAAATAATTCATTAATATATAAATTAAAAGAGTAGGTCAACCCTCCATAAAGGAATAATAACTTTAGCTTAAGGAATTCCATGAAAAACATAGAATCAATTATTAGAGTCGATACTAACAAAAAAATATAAAGCCCAGTTATTGTGATACAAAATAGAAAACATTTTGTTTCTAGCAAAAATAGTAGAAAGAGTAATTAATCTGTGAATCAAGAACATGACCCTTTAATTACAAGAGTTAGGAAATCCATTGAATTTGGTTAACGAATAATAATAAATAGACCTTCTAGAGTTTCTACAATATTAATGGATGAAGAATAGGAAAAGGAGCAATCGAAAATAATTACTTAAAAAGACCCTGTTTCCTTTACTGATTGGGTAGAGAGGATTTATGGTAAAGAATGGTTTTATTGAGAGACTGATAATTATTGATAATATTATTTATTCTTTGTAGAATTTGTAAATAAATAATTTAACTTTTGATGATGACGCATAACATTAAAAATTCGAAATTTTAATAACAATATAAAAAATTATAAAAGATAAATTCATAAGATTATAATTTTAAGTAATCAAGTACATATGTTTTTCTTATAATATTCACAAGTTTCCTCTGCTAATATTATTAAATATTAATGAATTTTTTCTTCTTACATTGCATTTTTCAAAAATAAAACAAATAAATCAAATATAGATTCTTTAATTTTAAGTGATTAATGAATAACTTTTAAATCATTTGATTTATATAGATGTTGATCTTTCAATATAAATGCTATCATCTTATGAAGATGTTTGCTCATTTAGTATATGGCATTTGAATAATATTCTTTATAATGTTCATTATCTTGCATTTAAAATTGAATTTTAGAGAGGATTGATTCAACTTTCTAATGGCCAATAATATTTTAGATAGAATACTAATGTTTAAGATTTCTTTTGAGCATAAAAAATATATCTTCATAATCTTAAATAACAATAGGATTTAAATTGAGATTTTGAATTAATAGAAAGAAATTATCTTTAAAAGATTCAATTTATTCTGAAGATATATTATATTTAGAATGGATAGTCCATAAATCATTATGAGTAAGAGTAGGTAAATGTTAATGTGTTAGATATTTAAGGATAAATTAAACATGTCTGTTAAATGCTTCATGAGGAAAGTTTTACATTCTTGGATCTCTTCTAAGAAGTTAGACATACTTAGTTTATTATATTTAGAGTAATGTTGGTTAATCTCTGTAAAAATCAAGTAATGAATCTTAATTTATTATGTAACTTCTATATCCATCCATTCTGGATGTGACTAGTTCTATTTATTTCTCTTAAATTTATTATTATCTCATAGATTCTATCATATGTTATTTAAATAATGTAAAATGTACATTATTTAAATGCATACTTTTGTGACTTTGTCTCATAATTGATAAAACTTCATCTGAAGTTTAATCCCATCCCATCATTTAATGTAATATTCTTCCTAACTTTTTAGCTTATTCTTATAGTTCTATACCAATAAAATAATGAGCCAAAGTATTATCTGCAAAGATTTTTTAATAACTACTTTCAGCCATAGACAGTATTATATCAGGAACATCTTTAGTGTTTATTTTTTCTGTTTTTTAATTGTATATAATAGCAAATGGAGTATCACTATCAATAATACAATAACGATATTATTCTATCATAGAACTAAATTCAAAAATTTAATCAACCTAAGTTTTATTTACTTTTAGAAAAGAAGTCTTAAAATTTAAAAAAATATTTTACAATTAAATAATTTTTAAAATTATTAAAATCTTTATTTTTAAGTCCCAAATTTTTATGCTTATCCTTAAGTTATTCAAGATTATAAAAAACAGGTTTACCCATTATATATTCTAAAAATATCTTAAAATGAGCCTTATATTATTCATGATCATCGATATCTTCAATTAAATAAATATTAATTACATACTTTTAATCATATCATGTTAACTAGAATAATGGTAAAATTCTTCATTTAATTAATCTACAACTTCATCTCCTCCAATTTTATAGTAAAATAAATTCATATCGTCATCTCTTACAGATCTTCCACTAAGATTAATAATCGAATTCTTTTGAATAGGTGTGAGTCTATTTTATTAAATTAAAGATTTTCTGATTTCTAAAGATTAATGTCTATGATTATGTACAGGATGAAAAAAATGTTATTAATTTTAAGGTCCATTAATTCTAAAAATAGATGATTAATAATTATTAACCGGACACTTGCCAATATTCAAAACAAATTTTCTATGTATGACATCTGGAGAATGCAATTTAGGTAGATTTGGATGACTATTTACTTATGATTTTTTTCTCGGGGTTGATTTAAAATGAGCTAGTAATTATTGTTATGTTTCAGACATTTAATTTACATATTGTGCAAAAGATTATCTTTCAATTATTCTGTCTCCAGGCTTATTACCTGTTCTTTACATTATATATCCTTTTTTAGAATTTTGACAATTAAGTTGGATATGTTATTACATTAATTAATATATAAATATATTAATAAATATATATAAATATTATCATATACAATCAGTGGAGTTTTTAAAAAGAGATTGTTTCTATAATAAATACTTAAGATCATATTAGAAGACCCTGATCATTTTTTTGATATAATAAACATTTTCAGATGGCTTGAAACATAAAGTATCACTAGCATTTTATTCTTTAATTTCTTCTTGTAATAAAAAATTGGATGCAACTCTATTTGTGCTTTTTTAATTAAACAAATATTAGCATGATTAAGTCTAATCTTTCTTTTTAAATTTTTTGGCAGTTTATTCCTATTATTAATCTTATACTTCTCTTTAATAAATAGGTCCTAAAGGAATAGATTATTTATTTTAAAATTGATGTAAAATTAACATAGCATGTTTAAAATCTATGACTTTATTTGTTGGTCTATGAATTTTACCAAAACTATGTCCTTTTTTATATTCCATAGGTATTTTTTTGACTAGGATTTTTAAATCCTTTCTTTTATTTTCAGTTTCCCATTTATTAAGATTTCCATTTTGCAATAATACATCTAAATCATATTCATCTTCAGAATAGGAATTCTAATCAATAAATCCTTCTTTAGTTTTTGCATCTAATAAATATGCTGCTTCACCTACATTTCTCATTCCTTTTCCTGGTTCTTCATATTCTCCTTATGCAAATTTCTCATGATAATATATAGCTTTATTCATATCTTATTTGTAATAATAACATAAGGATATTTTATCATAAGTAAAAATCTCATAATTAGTATCATTAACTATCCAAGATAATTTCAACATCTTTTTAAGATAAATTAAACTTTTATCATACTACTAAAGTTTTATACAAATCTTCGATATATGTTTATAAGCTATTAATTTATATTTATGACAATGATTTCCTTACATATTACAAATTCTTAATACTTTTTTCCAATTTGAATATGCTAACTTCTCTTTACCATATATTTCTAATATCATATTATGAATATAATAACCAACCAAGAACATATTTAAACAACCTATTTTCCATAATAATCTAATCATTCTTTCTCCAACTGGTGAAATTTAATTCACTTCCTCTACTACCATTTTTTCATTCATTATTTACAATAATTTTTAAATCTTCTCTATAAACTCTCCAAATTTAGAATTCTCAAACACTAATTATTATAACTTCATTGCATCTCTCCCACCAAAAAATGTTTATTTATATTTATCTGGATTAAATTTTTAATAATTAGCTTCTCCAGGTTAATATAATTTCTATAATTATTGCATTTGTAATCTTCTATGTTAATCTTTATATTCTTGCATCCCACTATCTGCCTAATACATTACTTGTACATGCATATTTTATGAATTTAATTCTTCTACTACATCATTCTTCGTTAAAATATCTCTTCCTTTTATATGTTTTATATTTAAAGGATCCCTTAAAAACAAATAATCATCAAACCCTTACCAACGAAGTAATGATCTCCAATATTATTTAACTATAAATTTTTCTTATTATTCTGTTAAATATGGACTTGCTTCTTATTATAATGAATGTTTCGGACTTGTGAATAAATTTCCTTTTACATTTGTAAATAGATTTCCCATACTTTAACTTGCTGATTCTGGCTTTGATAATCTTTAGTTAATTCGAGAACCAATTGGTCTTCCTGATTCTCTTGTTGCAACAGTCCTTTTAGTTATCAATTTATTTTAATTATTTTATTCAAGTTTTTGTTAAAGAAAATCTTCGTAGTCTTTATTAAGGAGGTTACGTAAACCTTTCATTTTTTTAATTTATAAAACTATTTATTATTAAATATACTTATTTTATTTTTCATTCATCATTATTATAAACATACAATTTGTTTTAGAATTTATTATTTATTATATTATCAAACTCTAAACACTCATATATCTTTATTATATACAATATTTATTCATAAATTTTTTAATAGAAATAATGCTGTTTTAAAACGGATGATTAAGTCTTAATTAAATTTAAATTTATAAAATAGTAACAGGTCAAATTGAATTGATAGAACTACTCTTTTTAATTTAACCACAACAATATATGTTAAAATAATGTAGAAAATAAGATGATATAGAAATGAATGAAGAAAAATATTTAAAATTTTTTTATTTTTCTTTTAAGAGAGGATTTAAATTAGATGACCATTTAAAATACAAAATTATCTTTAAGAAAATAAAAAAGAATTTTTATTTTTTTAATTATTCTTTCTTATCCAATATTGATAAATTCACTCAAGAAAAACACGAAATCAAATTATTCTTTATAAAATGAAAGATAAATTTAAATCTGAGAAATATTTGGCTTATATAATTAAAAAATCACATTGAAGCTTAAATTTTAACTGTTAGAAGAAATAACTAATATAAAATGGAAGCAAACATAATATTAATTCATTAAAAAGAATATATATATATATTTATGAATGTATGATAAAATTTAAATTATAATAATACAATAAATATATTTTAAACAATTTGCCAAAAATGCTTTAAACAGTCTTAGGAAAATATTTAGGAATAAAAGATAATAAATGTATTTTTGAACAATTTAATTTTTTGAATCATAATTAAAATAATATAAAAAAGAAATTATATAAATATATATTTAATAATGATTAAAGAATTCTTAAAAGATAATACAGATAATTGTTTAGATCTTATTGAAAAAGGAGATAATTTGGAGGAAATCGATAGGAAGAGTGGGAAAAGTTTATTACAGATAGCAATAACTAATAAGAATTTAACATTAGTCAAAGCTTTAATATCAAAAAAGAAAGCTGATGTTAATTTTGTGAATTAAATTGATAAAAGCACTCCTTTATTTACATCAATTTAATTGAATTTCTTAGAAGCTGCATAAGCATTATTATAAACTCATTAAGTTGATCTTGAAGTTCAAATAGAAGGAAGATCTTATTTAGAACATGCTGTTGTAATTGGAACTGTTTAAATTATCTAATTATTAATTAGTAAAATTAATTTATCATTATTTTTAGAATATAAAGTACCTATTCAAGGAAATTTATTACATTTAGCAATAAATTCAGAATAAGATGAAAATGCATAATTTTTAATATAAAATGAAATTGGTTTGATAAATTAGGATGAAGATTCAGAAAATGTATTACATATATTAGCATTTACAGGTAATGCAGAATTATTAAATTCAATAATTAAAAAACATCTCAATAATCCAATATAAGTTGACATTTGGAATTAATAAAACAAAGAAGGGAATGCTCCATTACATATAGCTGCAATTAATGATAAATAATTATTCTTGAAAGTGTTACTATCTAATAAAGATAATATTAATTTAGATGTTAATAAGTTAAATAGAGCTGGATTAACTTATTAATAAATACTTGAAGATAGAAAAAAGAAGATTGAATTAGAATAATAGGAGTAATAGGTTAGAAAAAGACTAATTGCAGAAGATAGAGTAATCAATAATAAATAATATTTTAGAAAGAAAGATAATTATAAAGGGCTAAAGAAATAGAGAATTAGATTTAATAGGAAAAAGAAGCTAAAACAAGATAAAAAGAAGCAGAAGCTAATAAAGAGATTTTATAGAAGAAAGAGGATACAAAAAATAGATTTGTAATGTTAGGCATCTTTTTAGCAGTTATTCTAGGATTCTATATAATATTGTAATTTAGTATAAAGAAGAAATGAGTTTGATAGAAATTATATCAAGATATGAATTTAGTTTATTTGAAGAAGTTATGGTTGTTTATTTCTATTTCTATTTTGTTTTATGACTAAATGTTTTCTTGATCTCCAAAATCAATGCTTATTTGTAGTGCTAAAATTGTATGTTAAAATTACCTTAATTTGTATTATTTTTTTTAATATACTCTTTACTTTATCCATAGTGTAACTCTTTTTAACTTAATTTTGCATGACTTAGTTTTTTTTCTAGAAAATCAAGAATTTTACCAGATCTATATCTACCAGGACTAGGGGTTAAACTAGATTTCTTAACTAATTTTTGATATTACTAATTATAGCATTGCTGGACTTATGTCCTCATTTATTGAAATATTAACAGATCCTTTATCTTCAATCTCTTATTAATGTGTTGGATTCTTTTATTCATCTTTTTTATTTGTAATTTCTAGACATTTATCTTCTTGTTACTCAATAATTCTAAATCCATCAGGAGGTGTTTGAATTTAATGTTTGATTTTTATTTAACAATATACTTTCCATGAAAGTAAAATGATTAATAAAAAAAGTACTAAGTTAATAAATAAAATGGATATTATAATGGCTAAAATGGCAGTGTAAAATGGCATTGATTTCTCAATAATTATGGCTGTATAAGTTTGGATTATCACTTATGCTATTATTTTAGTTGAGAACACACCAACTGTCTTTTTAAGGAGTCTTAAATGTAAAAGGCTGTTACTTAATGGAATCCTAATCTAAACATATTTCTAAGAATTAAATGTGAAGAACAATAGTCTCGCAATGATGGCACAATTGACAAAAAAGGAATTATTTACAAGTTTTACATTCTTATTAATATATCAACAATCCTATTATTTGACTTTAATTACTTTTAACATTCCTTAACAATCTAAATAAAATTAAAACAATAAGACATTAAAATATCATTATTCCTATAAACTAATTATGCTTAAAAGTTATACTTGATAATATAGAAAGATAGCTAAACAAATGCATTCAAATAAAAATATTGTACTTTCTCCATAGAGGATATAGATAAATAGACGATAGATCAATATCTAAAATTTTCTATATTCTTTTTATTTAGTAAATGGACTATTGGTAATTTCATTGCTTTCCTTATTCATATATTTAATAATAAAAATATTAAAAATGAGTTTAGTCAGAAATTCTTGTTAGTTTGTGAGTGAAAATTCTAAACATGTAAAAATAAACAAGGATGAATTATAAAAACAAGTAAATGAATGGTTTATAAATAATAAACATAAATATAAAGAATTTGATGAATATGAATGTCATTTAGGAGGTGATGAAGAATAAATAGTTAACTTTTTATTTATATTGGATTCATTAAATTTTTGTTTTTGGCCATAAAAAGATTATGAATATGAAAATTTATCATCTGCAATTAAGGAATGTTTTTAAAAATGTCCTGAATTATTTAAAGCAGAATCAATTTTGAAAATGACATTTGAAGAATTTTAAAAATTATTATTTCCAAATTTTCCTGATTTTCCATTGATAACAGAGAGATATAGATTATTGAAACATGCATCAGAGGTATTGGTGACATTTTTTGAAGGTGAATTTGTAAATGTAATAAAAGCAGCTAAAAATTCAGCAAGTAAGTTATTGAGTATTTTAACAACTCAATTTTTAGGATTTTAAGATCATGCAATATATTAAGGTAGATAAATATTTTTTTATAAACGTTCATAAATATTAATAGGAGATATATATGCTGCATTAAAAGGAGAAGGATTGGGTAAATTTAATGATATAGAAATTTTAACAATGTTTCCAGATTATAGAGTACCATAGATTTTAAATTAATTAAAAGTTTTAGAATATGATGAAGATTTGTAAAATAAAATAAAGAATTAAATAGAAATAGCTCATGGATGTGAATATGAGATTGAAATAAGAGCTAGTAGTGTAATAGCAGTAGAATTGATAAAGGAAGAATTTGAAAAATTAGGATAAAAATTAAAGAGTATAGAAATAGATTGGATATTATGGTAAATGGGTGAAGAATAAAGATTTGACATAGTTCCACATCATAAAACTTTATCTATATATTATTGATCTGATATATTAGAGTAAAATAAATAAATAGTAAAAAGAAAGAAAATATATTATAAAATCATAAATCATCTAACCATTTAATTCTTTTACCATCTTCCCAAATACCAATTTTAATAGTTCCATCATTTAAATAGTATTTAGAAGTGCCATGTTATTTATA